GACTTCTTGGAATGCTAGCAGTTTGGTCCAGTTTGGAAGATACAGAAAACAAGACGCGCAAGGCAGTTCCTCTGAAATGGCTGCTCCGGCTCTACTGTAATATGGCTCCACTCACGTCATCCTTCACAGGCCACAGCGCAGTCACGGTTATGAGGTGCAGGTTGTGAATGGCTTGCATCTGGATGCCTGTCATTCCTGGGGTCAGCTGGGGAAACTGGAGGGTTAATAGGGCAGAGCGGGAGGCCGCGGGCCTTTCTGAGTGCTGGGAGCCGCCACCAGCGCTGCTGTGTTTCTGGGTATTCCAGCGCCAACTCTAGGAAGAGGGGACCTGCAGGCTCTGCAAGCAGTGGGCACGTTCAGGTGTCCTGGACCGAATTGCAGGTGGGGGGTTTCGAAACGTGAAATGCTCGCCGGGGTCAAGACTGCCTGTCGCTTTTCTTAAAAATCAGATGAGAAGGGTTGCCTTCTTTTGTGATAGCTGCACCGAGCAGGGACCTGAATCATGTGAAATGTTGGCGGGGAAGGGTGTACCCACTGCTGTTCCAGCTCCTAAACTCTTTCATTTCCAGGGTCCCTCAGACCTTCTGTTATGATTCTGTTCGGAATCCAGTCCTCCTCCCACTTCCGTCTTCTGCTGCGGTGAGCTCACGCTGCAGGTGGATGTGCAGGCCTTTGAGTGGGAATAGGGCAGACTTTATGTCTTAGTCCCTTCAGGCTGCTTTACAGAACACCAGAGACCTGCTGGCTTATACACATTAGCCTCAGTTCTGGAGGCTGGAGTCTGAGATCAAGGCATCGGCAGATTTCGTGTTTGGTGAGGGCCTCTCCCTGGATCTAGACATCTGTCATCTCACTGTGTCCTCACATGGCGGAAGGGACGAGGGAGCTCTCTGGGGTCCTGTTATTATAAGGGCACTGATCCCATTCACAAGAGCTGCACCCTCATGACCTGATCACCTCCAAACACCATCACATTGGGGGTTAGGATTTCAACATATGAATTTGGGAGACACAGACGTTCAGACCACAGCACTTCAGATGGTTGTGTACTTACACAGATTAGTGGCAGCTCTGCACCACTCAACCACACACAGCTGTTTTCGCTGCTCTTATATTTATTTGTCATTTGTTTTGAGATTATTTAATTTTCATCTAGTTGTGCTCTATCACTCTAACTTGACTGACACGGTGGAGGGGACACTTGTCCTTTTTTTGGCGACTCCTGGGGATTGGCACACAATGTGCTGAAGCATAAGCCATCTGTGTAGGTTGACCATCCACTCAGGCCCTCCAGACCTTGTTCCAGCTGTGGGGTCTAGAACTGTATGCTATTTAGTGTGTCCATGGAAAGTTCCAGAACATTCTCTACTGTGTTGTAGTCACGTGCTCCTTGTGTGTCCTAGAGGTTTGCTGTGGCACCTGAAGCACAGTGTCGAGACCTCTCAGCTTTAGGCTCTGTTATCTACAGTTTCCTGCTGGTGGTGAGATTTTTTTTGTTAGTTATAGTGTAAATATTATTCCACTGTCTCAACTTGTTAAATTCTTAATTGTGATGTCCTTAAATAGAACATGGTTTTGGATGAGTTCCCAAAGTGAGATCCCTGGGTAACAAGTGTCCTTCCTTTTTTTTTTTGATGAGGAAGATTCACCCTGAGCTAACATCTGTTGCCAGTCCTCCTCTATTTTGTATGTTGGTTGCCGTCGCAGAATGGCTGATGAGTGATGTAGGTCCACACCCGGGAACCGAACGCAGGCCGCTGAAGGGGAGTGCGCCAAACTTAATCACTATCCCACGGGCCTGGCCCCAAATGTCCTTGATTTTAATGTGCCGGTTGGGCCAGCTCTTCTGCCTTCAGAAGCCGCCGTAGTGACTGATGAAGGGGACGGCAGCACTCTCCTGGAAGAGCCCTGTTGACTCGGAGCTGAGCATCTGGTGTCTCCTGTCTCTGATTGTCTCCTGTCTCACCCCCTCCCAGCCAAGCAGAATGAGAGGTTCTGTGAGCTTGGGGCCCACTGGGGACAAGGCCAGCCTGGCTGGGTGCTACTTGTCTCACATGGGCCAGCTGTAGAAGCTGCTATTCTGCAGTTTTCTAGAAAGAGTCATCTGCCCCACAGACACAGATGCAGGGCCAGGAAGAGAGCACCGGACCCTCCACTGCCTCTTGCTCCACACCCCACTGCCGCCTGCCCTGCCCTGCCTGGCCCGGTGAGCAGACCCTCCCCTGTGGTACCTTGATGGGGCCCAGCCTGGAAGGAGGGGAGACACTTTGAAATGGGTACAAGACTTAAATTCTTATTTAGCTCACATTTTAACACACAAAAGAGATAAAGGGATTTCAGCTGGAGGAGGGGAAACTAGACAAGGTGGGTATGAAGAGCAGTGGTGGGACAAGGTGTTCTTTCTGCCTGGGCCGTGGGGGCTCATGCTGTTAATGGGGGGCCGGCCCGGTGGCGTAGCTGTTCAGTGCGCGCGCTCTGCTGTGGTGGCCCGAGGTTCCCAGGTTCGGATCCTGGGCGTGCACTGACGCACCGCTTGTCAAGCCATGCTGTACGGTGTCCCATATAAAGTAGAGGGAGGTGGGCATGGATGTTAGCCCAGGGCCAATCTTCCTCAGCAAAAAGAGGAGGATTGGCATCAGATGTTAGCTCAGGGCTGATCTTCCTCATGAAAAACAACAATAACAAAAAAAACCGACCTCGGGGATCTGAACAAAGCTGTTGTGATTTTTAATCTACACTTTAGTGTCACTTCCTCTCCATCTTCTTGGGTCGACTTTCCCCCATTTCCTGCCGTCTTCTCCTGCCTTCTCCCCAAGCCCCCAGCACTGTCACCTGAGGACTGGTGAGCCCTGACCATGGGCCCCTTCCTGATCATCTGAGCAGATTCTCCTTGAAGCTAAGATCTTGGGCTTCCTGGAGGCCCTGCAGGAGCCCTGCCGGTCCCTGCACGAATTCTGCATTCATGATTTTAAATACCTCTTTTCTTCAAGATAACCCTCCCGCAAAATTTTATAAACTGAAGGCCCACAAACAGGCGTCTATGCTGGTGTGAAGCAAAACTTATTTTTTTCAGATTATTGTGACCCATACAGTACTTTTTGACATCGACTACAATGCATTATAGTGATTGTACCCATCCCCGTGATTCCTATAAATGTGCAACATAGCTGCAGATTTTAGCCTCAAAAATGTGATGGTTTCCTGGCTGCAGGATAGGTTTTAAGCTTTTTCTCATTTATTTATAATAGCTCTCTAAATATTAAGGATGTTAATTCTTTGTCTTTATTGTTGCAGATTTTTCACCAGTTTTCTGTTTGTTTTTGATTTTTAGTGATGTTTTGTAACCTGCAGTCCATCTGGAATTTTTGTTACTATTTCCCAAATGGTTGTCTAGTCCCCAAACAATTAAAACAATTTGTTTCTCAAAGCTTAAGGTAATATTCCTCCATACTTTGTCCCAGTTAAGCTCAAGTTCTGTCCAGGGGTTCCTGCCTAAGCAGGATTTATGGCAGCCTGTTGGGTAGAAAATTAGATGGCCTGCAGCTCAAAGAAGAGGAAAACAACAACTGTGTCCCGGGAAAGTCTGGCAGGGAGCTGAGCATTTGGTACAGGGGAGTGAGCAAGTCCTCTCAAGTCAGAACAAATGGTGTGAGTAGGATTGAGATGGCTGGACTCTTGTAAGAGGCAATGTGTGGGCAGCCCCAAGCCCAGTCTCCTGCAGTGGTCGGCTGGCTGGGTGTGCTTTGGCAGGGACACAAGCCACATAGAGCAGCAGTGAGTGGCTGGGCAGGGATGTCAGGCGAGTCTGTCTGGCTGTAAACCCGAGCTCCTCCCTCACAGCATGTTGCCAGCAGGGCTGATGCTTTCTCAGATCGAATGGAACTGTGAGGTCACATCTAAGGACCAGTCTTCTGTGTGGGCTGCAGTGGAGAGGCCACGGAGGAGGAGTCAGAAATGTGAAGGCTAGTCGTCTTGATTCCATAACTGGTCGTATCACTTACCTCTCTGATTTTTTCACCTGTAAAATGGAAAAAAAAACATTTAACAACTTTATAGAGTTAATGTGAGAATTAAATGATATAATGTATTTATTGTTATACACAAATCTACATGATAATATCTGTAAAAGTGATCGGTAAACTGTAAGTTTGTATACAAATACTATTATTTGCAAATCACAGTACTCACCACTTTGTCAGCACTTCTGTGGCTGAGCTTCAAGTGGCTCCAGTGCCTGGAAGGAGGTGTGAGGCAGGGCAGAAGCAAAGAGGACTCCAGGCTATTGCACCATGTGTGTAAAAGGATTACGTCGGTGCAGTTATTAACTGTGAGGTGGGAAAGAAGTCTGACACATTTTTTTATTTTTGTCAATGTTTTATTAGTTTATGCTTTATAAGACGTAGCCTGTGAATCAGTGATTATTTAACCCAAGGTAATTAACGTTAATAACAAGAATGTTGTGAAATAGTTGAGTAAATCCCGGATTAGCAACAGGAGATCTACATTCTAATTGCAGTTTACCACCATCTAATTTGCTTGGTCAATTTAGAAAGTAACTTTGTATCTTAGCCATTGATAATAGTCATCGATTTCAGTAATAACTTTTTGAATGCTCTGCTTAGTGCCAGTGCTGGACTAAATGCCATACAGGCCGTCGTCTAATCCTCACCACACCTCTGCAAGGTAGTTACTCTCTCCATTTTCTGGCTGGGAAAGACTGAGCAAGTCTCAGCAAGATCTGTTAGGCAGAAATAGTGGGACTTGACTCAAGGTCTGTTTGAAAGCCCGTGGGGAGGAGTGGAGCAGTCACTGAGTCGGAACCCCCAGGATTTTCAGGGATTTCTCTTCCTTTCTCTTAGCAGCAGGAGGGAGAGGTGAGTAAGTAGATACGATGTGCTGTGTGTATAATCACATTAGTAATTATTAATAATTAATAACAGACTATTGTCTATATTAAATATCACACCCGAAGTCATCTTGTATGTACTTTGTGTTTTCAGATTGAACATGGAAGAACCACAAGAGATTTCTTCCACTAACGATGGCTGTGTAGGTGACATAGTCATAGAGAAATACCTGGTTGAATCCCAGGAGTCCGCGTCCCACGTCCAGCTTGCTTGCAGTGTGCCGCACTGTGCCTTCCCTCTAGATGGAAACAAACTTTGCATATGGAACACCAATGACCCTTCTCACCAGGTATGTAAAAACTGTGTGTGTTTCCTGTTAAGTCAAATGACACAAAGAGCCTGCCATCACCTCGCCGTTTCTCTGATGCTGTTTGGGTAATATTACCATCCATGGATTCAGCTCTAACTATGGGAGAAAAATGTTAAAAATAAAACATTATATTAAGTTTTGATTTTTAGAAAATAAACTGTCTGGAATCTCTTTATTAAAAAAAATTCTTCAGTAAGAACATGAGCAAGAAGAGGTTCATTGTAACACAATCAAGACAAGTTGAACCTTTGTATGTTTTTAGTACAACACATTTAAGGAAGTTTATGGTGTTTATTGCAGAATCTTTTACATCAAACCGATAGAATTTTAAACATCATTAGTTTTCATTCTAAAGCTTATTTCATGACTAATATCATTATCTGAATACTCTTAATAAGAACAGGTTTCATTTTACAAAATGAAAAAGTAAACTCTGTGAACATTTTTTGGTATTCAGATAATTTTTATCTTGATTTGGGCTTCAGGAGTTTGAGGACAGTGATTATAGTTACATAGGCACCAAAACTATATTTACTGTGAAATTTTCCCTTGACTTTCAGTCTTTCTGGCAATCACTTTACTAATAGAAGAAGCTGTTCATTATTATTAAAGAGGAGTCTATATTTTTATTTTTTTCCCCCAGTTAAGAGATCTACATTCAGATCTCCAGCTGATCTCTCTTACTTTTTCAGTGAAGTATAAAATACCTAGAAAAATGTGTCCTGGATATCAAGTGCACATTGTAGTGGTTCTAACAAAGTAGACACAGCTGGGTGACCACCACGCCGGCTCTGCTCCTCTCCATCAGTGCTCCCTTCTCTCCTCCCTGAAGGTAACTCTATCTTGACTTCTAGGACCATGGGTTAGTTTTGCTCATGTCTGAACTTTGCATACATGGGATTACGCATTATGTATTCCTTTGTGCTGGTTTCTTTCATTCACCATTGTGTTTATGAGATATCCACATTGCTTTTTCGTTACTGCGTAGTATTCTGTTGTACAGAGAGTCTACAATTTATCCATTCTACTATTGGTGGACATTTAGCTTATTTTCACTTTGACTATTGTAAATAAAGCTGCCATAAAGATTTGCCTGTCTTTTGTTTTATAAATGTGATTTAGGTCAAGGTGGTTTATAGTGTTCTTCAAATCTTCTATGTTCCTGCTGATTTTATGTCTACTGTTCTATCAGTTATTAAGAGAGGCATATTGAAATCTATGACTTTAAATGTGAATTTGTCTATTTCTCTTCCATCAGTGTTATTCCAGGTATTTTGAAGCTCTATTATTAAGCATGTGAGTGTTTAGTATTTTTGTGTCCTCTTGATGAACTCACTCTATTAATATTATGAAGTAATGTCCTTTATCTCTGGTAATATTCCTTGCTCTGAAATTTTGGCTAGTATTTTCTTTTTTTTTGTCTACTTTTTACTGTTTTTTTTTTGTGTGTTAAGACTTGATTATTATTTTTTAAGAGCAGTTTTATATTCACAGCAAAATTGAGAGGAAGGTACAGAGATTTCCCATATAGTCCCTACCCCCCAACATGCATAGCCTCCCCCATTATCAACATCCCCCATCAGAGTGGTAGGCTTCTTACAGCTGATGAACCTACATTGACACATCATAATCATCCAAAGTCTATATTTACATTAGAGTTCACTCTTGGTATTGTACATCCTTTGGGTTTGGACAAATGTGTAATGATATGTATCCACCATTATAGTATCATACAAAGTATTTTCACTGCCCTAAAAATCCTTAGTGCTTTGCCTAGTCATCGTTCCCTCCCCCAACCCCTGGCAACCACTAATCTTTTACTGTCTCCATAGTTTTGCCTTTTCCAGAATGTCATGTATTTGGAATCATACAGTAAGCGATTGGCTTCTTTCACATGGCAATATGCATTTAAGATTCCTCCGTGTCTTTTCATGATTTGATAGCTTGTTGCTTTTTAGTGCTGAATAATATTCTATTGTCTGGATATACCACAGTTTATCCATTCGCCTACTGAAGGGCATCTTGATTGCTTACAAGTTTTGACAGTTATGAATAAAGTTGCTATAAACATCAGTGTGCAAGTTTTTATGTGGACATAAGTTTTCGACTCCTTTGGGTAAATGCCAAGGAGCATGATTGCTGGATTATACAGTAAGAGTATGTTTAGTTTTGTAAGAAACAAAACAAACTCTCTTCCCAAGTGGCTGTACCATTTTGCATTCCCATCAGCAATGGATGAAAGTTCCTGTTACTCCACATTCTTGCCAGCATTTGCTGTTGTCAGTGTTCCAGATTTTGGCCATTCTAATAAGTGTGTAGTAGTATCTCATTGTTGTTTTAATTTGCATTTCCTTAATAACATATGATGTGGAGCATTTTTTCATATGCTTACTGCCATCTGTATATCTTCTTTGATGAGTTGTCTGTTAAGGTCTTTGGCCCATTTTTTAACTGGGTTGTTTGTTTTCTTATTATTGTGTTTTAAGAGTTCTTTGTATATTTTGGATAAGATTCCTTTATCAGATATGTCTTTTGCAAATATTTTCTCCCAGTTTGTGATTTGTCTTTTTATTTTCTTGATAGGATCTTTTACGGAACAGAAAATTTTAATTTTAATGAAGTCCAGCTTATCAATTCTTTCTTCAGTGGATCGTGCCTTTGGTGTATCTAAAAATTTATTGCCAAACTCAAGTCATCTGGATTTTCTCCTGTTATCTTCTAGGAGTTTATAATTTTCTGTATTGCATTCCTTTGCTCTTTTGTCAAAGATCAGTTGATTATATTTATGTGTGTCTATTTCTGGCTCTCTGTTCTCTCCCGTTGATCTGTTTGTCTTTTCTTCCACCAATACCTCATGGTCCCAATTAGTATAGCTTTATAGGAAGTCTTGAAGTCAGGTAGTGGCAGTCCTCCAGTTTTGTTCTTCTTCTTCAACATTGTGTGGCCATTCTAGATCTTTTGCCTCTCCATATAAACTTTAGAATCAGTCTGTCGATTTTCTTTGGGATTGTGCTGAATCTATGGATCAAGTTGGAAGAATTGACATCTTGACAATATTGAGTCTTTCTATCCATGGACATGGAATATGTCTCCATTCATTTAGTTCTTCTTTGATTTCTTTCAACAGAGTTTTGTAGTTTTCCTCATATAGATCTTGTACATATTTTGTTATATTTGTACCTAAGCATTTCAGTTTTTTTTGGTGTTAGTGTAAATGGTATTGTGTTTTAAATTTCAAATTTCACTTGTTTATTGCTGATTTAGAGGAAAGTGATGGACTTTTGTATCCTGCAACCTTGCTATAGTTGCTTAATTTCAGGGTTTTTTTTGTTGATTCTTTGAATTTTCTATATAGATGATCATGTCATCTGTGAGCAAAGATAGTTTTATTTCTTCCTTACCAATCTGTATACCTTTTATTCCCTTTTCTTGTCTTATTGCATTAGCTAAGACTTCCAGTATAATGTTAAAAAGGAATGGTGAGAGGGGACTTCTTTGCCTTCCTCTTGGTCTTAGTGGGAACACTTCTAGTTTCTCATTTAGTGGTGAGATATGCTGTTGTGATGCTACAATGTTAGCTCTTGGTATTTTGTAGATATTCTTTATCAAGTTGAGGAAGTTCCTTTCTATTCCTAGTATATTGAAAGTTTTTATCATGAATTGGTGTTGGATTTTGTCAAATGCTTTTTCTGCCTCTGTTGATAAGAACCTGTGATTTTCTTCTTTAGCCTGTTGTTGTGATGGGTTACATTAATTGATTTTCAAATGTTGAACCAGCCTTGCATACCTGGAATAAATTCCACTTAGTCTTGCTGTATAATTCTTTTTATACATTATTGGATTTGATTTGCTAATATTTTGAATATTTTGTTGAAGATTTTGGCATCTGTGTTCATGAGAGATATTGGTCTGTAGTTTTCTTTTCTTGTAATGTCTTTGATTTTGGTATTAGGGTAATGCTGGCTTTATAGTATGAGTTCGGAAGTATTCCTTCTGTTTCTATCTTCTGAAAGAGATTGTAGAGAATTGGTGTAATTTCTTCCTTAAATGTTTGGTAGAATTCACCAGTGAACCATCTTGACCTGGTGCTTTCTGTTTTGGAAAGTTATTAATTATCGATTCATATTCTTTGATAGACGTAGGCCTATTCAAATCATCTATTTTGTTTTCTGCAACATGTAACCTGCTGTCAATCTTTCTCAGTATGTTTTTCATCTGTCATTCTAGTTTTCATCTCTCCAAGTTAGACTTGGGTCTTTTTAATATATTCCATGCCTCTATTTAACTTTTTGAACATATGGAATAAAGTTATAATGATTGTTTTAATGTCCTTATCTAGTAATTCTAACGTCTAGATCAGTTCTAGATTGGTTTCAAGGCCATCTTGATGGCATGTGGGTGTTTTCCATGTTTTCCTCTTTCTCTTGGTTTTTGACTGAATGGTCTTGTCTCTTTGAATAACTGATTATTTTTGATTGATTGCTGGACATTATAAATGAAAAAAATGTACAGCTGGTTTGAGGTTCTGGATGATCTTAACTTCTTCCAGGGGGAATTTGTTTACTTCTGATAGCTACCTGGCTAAGGGCACCAGCAACCCCAGAAGATGGGTTTCAGCACTGTGAGGGCTGTTCTAGTTCCAGTTTACCCACTCATTTGGTCTGGTCCTTTGTGTTCCTACTGTTAGCCTAGGGTGTTTAGCAACATGCCCCTCCTTCACCATAGTAGGCTGTATTATTTTTTTAAAGCAGAAATTTATTAAAATCCATCCATAGGATTTTAGAGAAAAAAAAATGTATAGAGTCCTCAACCTTGAGGCTATTGACTCTATTTTCAGAAGTACTTTGTAAGGCGACAGAATTCTTTGCCTTTCTCCCAATAAGATGCTTCTGTTAATGCCTCTGAAAATGATGCACTAATTACACCATTTTTGTGCCGTTAGCCCCATAAATATCTCAGCTTCTCAACTGCCTTTACTGGAATTGTCAGAAATTGCCTTTTGATAGATGTCTTCATGGGAGAAGTGGTCTCTGTTGCTAGGATCGCTTCCCTCAGTTTTTTTCTTCTCTGTGATCTTAATTCATTACTCTTGGATGCCTTAAAAAGTATATATATTTGAAAATTTTGTCCAGTTTTTCACATCATTCTCACCAGGAGAGTTGGTACAGATGAACTAGCTTGCCATGACCAGAGCAGAGCTGGCCTTGTCCTCGCGTCTACTGTCTACATACTGTCTACGTGCTGTCCACTTGTAAGTACCTCAGCTTACCATGGACCAGACAACCTCATCTACCCCGGTTCCATCCCGTCTTCCTTATGCCATCATTCAGCCAGGATTTCAACCTGTAACGCTGATTCTTTTTGCTCCATCCCTCCATGTCCATTGGTCAGCGAGTCTTCAATTCATCATCTCCTCTCCATCTCCAGCTCTGCCGCCTCATTCAGGCCTTTATTGCATCTCCTTTGGAACGTTTTGGTCTTACCTGGATCCCCTACTCTGGTCTCTCTTCTATACTTACAATCATATTACGTTTCTAGAAAATAAATCTGGCCATTGCTTGCCTCTGCTTGCACATTTTTCCTAACTTCCAATTTCCTAGAGCTCTATTGAAACTCTTTATGTAGTTGTCAAGCTGTTCATACCCTGGCTCCACCTCTCTCTCACTTCATCTTGTTACTCTGCTTGCAACAGCAGTTTCTTCAACATGCTTTGCTTTCCTGGAGACCCGAATGCTCTCCTCCTCATGTCAAATCCTTATTATTTTTCTTATCCTTCAATATCCAGCACAGCTGTTACCTCTTCTGGCATGCAGTGGGGATGCAATATGCATTTGTTTAATTATTAAATAATGAAGAAATGGAAGAACGAGGTCACCTGCATCATTTTCCTAGTGTGTGTTACATGTGATACCGAGTAACAATGAAATAGTCAACGTGAGGGAATAATTTAGCAGTACATAAACGGGAATTTTAATAAATGATTAATATATGTTTGCAAAATTCAGTCCATTTAAATTCTTAGGTTTGAGGTTAAGTTGTTATGTTCTTTTATTCTTTAAATGTTATCTATAATCTATGATGTTTTTGTGTTTTGTTAATTTTTCAGTTTTTAGTGCTAAGAGGACACCATTGGCCAATTACTGCCATGGCGTTTGGAAACACAGCGAATCCACTTCTAATCTGTTCTGCATCACAAGACTATGTTATAATGTGGAACCTGGATGAATGCAGAGAGAAAGTACTTCAAGGTACATGAAAATTTAAAACATATTTTTAAAAATGTACAAAGGGAACAACTTATCCTTAAATATACTTGGTAACATAAGGGGGTTTGGGATCATTTTTGACTCATTTAACCTTGAAACCAGACATCTAAGCTGGGTGTTCTGTACGGGAAGCACACCAGGCCATTTGACCTTTGCTACATGTGAAGCTGATATCAGAGGCTCATTAGTTTTTATCTTGCATATTTTCTTATTTTTAAATTTGTGATTTTTGCAGAACTCTGAAAACATTTAGGCAAGTTGAAATATTCTTTCTTTACAGAGACACAGTGGTTGGCAAGTAAGTGAATAAGGTGTTGACAGAGAACATGGCAGGACGCATTTATGTGGTGTAATCTGAGGCATTGATGTCTGAGCTGGAGGATGAGAAGGAGCTGGGGGAAGGGTTGGCGTTGGGGAGTGGCACAGTGCTGGGTGGGACAGCATTTTAGGCAGAAGAATCCATCTCTGCTCACCCTCAGTGTGAAGACCTTGACCTATTTGAAGAACTGAGAACAAGCCCATGTGGTTGGAACATGGTGATGTTAGCAGAGATTTATCAGATGCACCTGAAAAGTTAGGTGAGGCCCACATTAAGAAATTCACATTTTATGCAATTACATTGAGAATTGAGAATTTGTAGGATTACTCTAAAAAATCAAATGTCAAGTAATCTTAGGCAACAGCATATATAATAGTTTATACTCCACCTTCACTTAATTTGTAGTGTGATCACTCCAATATCAGTGTATCACCACGAAGTGCACATATGCATATACATATATAGTACAAGCATAGGTACCCACGTACATATACATGTAGTACATACACACATGAACATGCATATACAGTACACACATACACACAAATACGTATATAGTATACGTATACACATGCAACACACATATGCATGTGTATATAAAGTAGACACATGCGTACAGACACATATAGTACACATGTACATGCGTATATAGTACATACATCATGCATTTATAGTACATGTCCATGTGTTTATAGTACATGTATACACACATAATACATATATACATACACATGTACACACAAATATACATAGGGTACATATTTACATACATATATAGCACATACATACACAAGCGTGTGTATAGTACATGCACACATGTACATATGTATATAGTATATATATATGCACACATATATAGTAAACACACAATACATATGTATATAGTTTATACATATACCTATATGGTACACACATGCACACACATATAGTACATGCCTACAAAGCACATATGTATAGCACACACGTGTAGGCATATATAGTATACATAGTACACACGTATGCATGTATGCACACACATATATAGTACACACATACATATGTAGTACACACACACACACGTGCATGTGAATAGTGACCCACGTGTTAGTTCTCTGCTCCCTCCAGAGGTCTTTGTAAATAGGCAATCCTCCCTGTTGGACGGGACTGCACTCCCAAAGTTTATTTTTAAGTTGCTCCTCAGAGCCTCACGTGGATTTGATAGGTGGTGGTCTGCTGCCAGAACAGTGGGCAGAAGCGGAGCCCTGAGGCGTGACACTGATGCTCACGTAGAATCCCACACAGCGGGCATGCTGGAGCTGCTCCTGGTATCCTGCAGCTCTGCCAGGGGATCAGAACAGGCCCCTTGTCTACCCTTCACTTTGGGGCTGTGGGGGAGGGATCCTCGTGAACTACAGGCCATCGGCTGTGGCCCTGCGGCCTGGGCAGGATCCAGCACAGTCAGGTGTGTTTAGGGGTCCATGGAGGTGGTGTGCTGACAGCACCTTTACGTCCAGTACCGATTTGGGTTTGCACTTGGACTGAGAACACGGTCTATGACCAGTGGCCTCAGAGTGCTGTGGTGTTGGTCGGTTTTCGGTCCTTGGATCCTGTTAGTCACTTGTTCCCAGTCCCTTCTGCTGGCTCCTTCTCATCCTTCTCATCCGCCTACTTGCCAGCATGGGAATATGGTGAATAGTGACCATGTCCTCCCCGTTAGAAAGCACTCCTTTGGGGACTGCACCTGGGCCTTGGCTTTTAGAAATGCTTATATGCTGACGACTGCCGCTGTGACTCTGCTGAACCCTCTCTCCTGACCTCGGCCTCACGGGTGGCCGGCCCCTGCACACCTCCATGTGGCTGTCTGATAGCATCGCACACTGCCCCCACAAACCCTCCTCCCCCAGTCTTCCCGCAGTGGCTCGGGGAGAAGCCGAGGCGCCATCCCTTACCCCAGCTCTCACACCCACATCCAGCCCGTGCGCAGACTCCATCTGCTTTACCTTCAGAACATATGCCTCGTCTGAGCACTTTTCACACCTCCGTGCCACCACGCAGGTTCACACCACAGGCATCTCACCTGGGTTGTTGTGCTAGCCTTCAACTGCCTCCCTGCTCCCACTGCCCTCTCCAGCTGGTATTTTATTCTCAGTTTAATTTATTCTCAATTTTTGCCCTGCCTTTGCTCAAAGCCCTCCTGGGCCTTCCCGTCTCATGCAGATTTTTGGAGCCAACAAGCTACAGCCCCTCGCCCACACCCCCAGCCTCACGGAGCAGCCAGGCACTGTCCTGCCCCAGGGCATTTGCTTCTGCTGCTCCTTCTCGGGATCCCTGCTGATTCTGCTGCTTCCTTCAGGTCTCTACTCAGATGTCTCCTTTGCTGTGGGCCCTTTCTGACTCCCACCCTGTACCCTGATACCATTTCATACTTTGTTTTTCTCACCTGCTTACTTCCTTCTGGCAGCCTACACAGCTTGTTTATTCATTTTGTTAACTGGTGTCTACATGTCCCTCCCCCGATCCCTCGAACGTGTGTTTTCCATGAAGACAGGGTTTCTGTCTGTCTGGTCTGTGGAGCTCTCCCTCAGGGAGGTGCCTGGGCAGCACAGGCCCCTGTTAAATCCTGATGGGTGGATGACCCCGTGTGTTTAGTCCTGCCCAAACAGAGCTCTGGGACATTTGTGTGTTGTCCTTTCTGCAGGTTCTTGGTCTCCCTCTTGACACGATCTTGCTGCACAACAAGCGGCCTCGGTCCCAGGGCCGGGCCACATGGGTACCGGCTCTGCTGCATGGTGTGGGTGGGTCGAGTGGCCCTACCGGAAGCTGCAGGTCGGCCTGTGTTGTCACCTTGGGACCCACAGGCTGTCCTGGAGGTGTCCTCATGGTGGTGGGGAGGCCCTGGACGCTGAGGCTCAGATGGGCACACTGTCCCTTCTGCCCCCCGACATGGGCCAGAGCAGGTCACATGGCTGGACGCAGTGGGGTGGACGCAGGAAGGAGGAGTTGGGATGTACTGGTCAGTCTGCATGACTCAGCCCGTGTGTGAGTACGCAGCCTTCCCAAGACCGTCATCCTTCACGACACTGAGTCATTTCCCTGTGGACAATTCCCGTGTCCCACATAGTCCCAGAAGAATATTTATATTCAACAGTTTTAGTACTTTCAAAGAGCCAAAATCATATCAAAGCTCCTTGTTACTCTGCTTGTGATTTTAGAATAGAGGACCGCATTGTCAGCGTTTCCCCACGAGGTTACTACAGTTATGCTAATGCTGTTGGCCTTTGATGAACTCACACTAATGATGGACACTCCCTCTAGGGTTGATTCCTCGAGGGACGGTCATGGGCACCCTTCTGGGAGAGGTGCTGTGTTTAAGATTTAGTCCGGATGATAGTGTGGTTGCAGTGTGTGCTGGAAATAAGATACTCGTGCTGGATGTTGAGGTAAGATTGAACACCTGTGTGAGTCTAGTGGGGCGCAGACCTGATGGGGCCTCTCAGGTGCTGAGGTCCCACCTGCCTCTTATCAACGGTATTTTTAATTGGGTGTATTTTTGTAAAGATGTTAGGGGGAATGAATGAAAACATATCTTTATCTTGCAGTTGGAAAACCACTGGAATCAGATACTGCTATTTTATGTGAGTTGTGAAACCTCTACATCCCTGGGTACCAGGGATGACTTTAAACAAATACATTCAGTAAAACACTTATTTCCTTGATATTCTTCTCCTTTTTTTTAGTTTCATTAAATGTGTCACCTCTTCCTGTTTCTGTGATTTTTAATCTCGTATTTGGCTGTGAAATGGTAAGCTTTCTTTGACCCGTTACAGAAGTGCCAAGTGTTGGAGAGCAGGAGGTGGGCTGGGGGTTGAGTGGGGCTTTCTGTTTCCTTGGGATTTGTGTTCTACTTCAGACACATTGTGAAGATAGATCATCTGAGGCCTGGTGTCATGTATTGTCTTCTGTTTCCCAAATGAGTACAGTTAACAAAGCTATTTGCCTGCAAATAATTTTCTTGCCATATCCATGTTAAAAAATTTACGTTGGGAAGGACGTTAGGCTTAAAATCTTAATTGATTATTAATTGATGGTGAGCCCAGTGTGTGCCATGCAGTTTGGAGTACAGAGTGTACATTTGTGTTTTCAAACAACTTTTGGCCAAATTGTGAAATTGAGGCTCACACATAATAAAAGGTTAATGTCGTAAGTGAAGTCACAGTCAGATAGTGGGACGTGTCCTAGGGTTAGGCAGGGGCTTGGAGAGTTGTCCAGCATCCTAGCCTATGAAAGCGTCATGGATAGGTTGGTATTTGAGCTGTAAATATTTACGTTTTGTGCAAACATCTGTTTTTTGTGTGTGTGAGGAAGATTAGCCCTGAGCTAACATCTGTCGCCAATCCTCCTCTTTTTGCTGAGGAAGATTGGCCCTGGGCTAACATCTGTGCCCATCTTCCTTTACTTATATGGGACGCCGCCACAGCATGGCTTGATAAGCAGGGCGTTGGGATACACCCGGGATCCGAACCCTGGGCAGCTGCATTGGAGCGCATACACTTAACTGCTACGCCACTGGGCCGGCCCCTGTGCAAACGTCTTTTGATGGTTAAATGATATCAACGCAAATAATCCACAATCAATCTGTAAATCCAAATTGATGTGAGTTTATTATGAGCCAGATCTGAGGACTAGCCTAGGGCCTTCCTTCCCCAAGGGAGGAAGGGCACTAAAGAAGTGGGGTATACAGAGTGGTTATATACCTTCTTGGAACAAAGAGCATACATCACATATGACAGGAATGTCCCCTTTACAAATTGTCATAAGATGCTTAGCTGGCACAGCAGGTAGGTGGTCAGCAGGTCAGTGGTCACAAGGTGAGCACAGCAGGTCAGTAATTAATCCTTAGTTTCCAAGAAGAGATGCTTATCCTTAAAGAAATGCCAGTATGGGGGGAAGTTACATGCCTATCTTTACGGGCATCATTCTTGTCCTTTGGACATTGTAAATATTTAAAGCAGACATACAATGCATGCTCATCAGGCTCTTCTGGAAAAACAAGGTTAGGTCGAATTAGTTTTACACCAAATGGCTTCCTCATATCTTCCAATATACCCTATTGCTTTGCATTTATTTATCAATGGATTAGCATTCGCTCGCCCTACCAAACATAACAAAACTCACCATCTCCATGTCAGGAAAAGGAAAACCAAAGTGAACCAGGAGGACACTGAGCACTGTCAGTGTTTGAGGAAGATGAGATGTCCCAGGAAGAGAAAATGATGAACCTGGGGTGACACCCCAGCCACTGACTTGGAAGTTCATGACAATAAAAGTGAGGTGGCAGACATGTGCTCCAGACTTCCTGCGTAGATATGGCCTGAATTGGTCATTCTTTTCATGCATCTTAGCCACAGGCTTATAAAATGTGACACGATTTACCAAGGAAAGGTAATTTTATGGACATGGGTGGGCTGCCCATAGGCACATGAAGAGTTCACATTGTCTTAACAGAATTCTTGGGTAGTAAACAGTTTATGAAATTTGTTTTGAAAGACTTTAAACAAGTACTGAATGCTTTTTGTAAAGATTCTTTTTAACTAATATAAAATATAAGTATAAATTAATTTATGGTTAATAAAATATCAAAAGGAAACAGTATTTTTCTGTGTGTACATTAGGGGATATTTATCTCATCTAAACTGAATGCTGTGAAGTTGAAGGAAAATGCCCTCTGCCCAGTGCCTGGATCCCATGGGCACATTCTGTGGGGCCTGACTGTGACCTTGGGGACCCCTGGTGCTCTCACTGCCCTGTTTCTCAAGCTGTGCTAAGGAATTCCAGCCTGTGACACTGTCTTCTGGGGCTGCTTGGCCATAAGAGGTTTCAGGGACTTAAGAGGAAGGATAACTCATTAGTAGCTTGAACACATGCTGTGTTTTTATCTCAGTAACTGCCTGATGGAGGCCGCTGCTGAAGGACAGCGTGTCAGGTAGATACACGTTGATGATGGCGGGGAGGGGTGAGGGAGAATGAAGGTGGAGCAGGGCTCCTCCACCTGCCTCTGCAGGGCCGTCCTGGGCGGTCCCGGCAGCAGAGAGTGGCGTCAGAGCAGCATGCGGGAGGCGGGCTGTGGGAAGGCGGGAGGGCCTCGAGGTCCCTGCTGCGCAGCTTGGTTAGGGTTGGCCTCGGTTAGCCTTTGTCTTTCAAAGTTGCTGTTGCTGTGGCATATGCTCCCCTCTGAGCTCAGCCAGCTGAATTTTAAATTCTAGGTTTATATACAGATAATTTCAAATTTGCAAGAGAGGATTATGTAAAGTAGAATTTATTTTAACAGAAACTGTTTTCTGTGAGATATATGTAACTTCTTAATGATAATAATCATCAGAACGTTCAGTTACTGATCTTCCTCATACATTCTCCCAGAGCTTGTCCATACTAGCTGAGCTGGAGGGCCACCGGGGGCCTGTGACTGCAGCTGAGTTTTGTGCTTGGCAAGCACGAATCATCATCTCAGTGTCTGGGGACAGAAGCTTTAAGGTAAGGGAATGGCCGTTGGACTACGTGTGCCTTCAGGTACCACAGGTGATTGGTTTACGGTCACTGCCACATACATACTTTTATTCCTACCACACTGTATGATGGCCATCATCCTGAACCTCGGCCTGATGTTCTGGCTGGGGTCCCCGGCTGGGTGCGGGAAGCCGGTGTGGCCCTCACAGCACCCTCTTGTGTCCCTACAGTCCCAGACGGGCTTGAGTCAGCTGTGGACCCTCCTCCTCATATGCAGGCCCTTGGAGAGCTGAAACATTAATTTATCTCCACAGTGTTGCCTCGGGACCAGAGCAGAAGAGCCATTTTCCAATGTCAGGGGACTAATCAGAACTAAATTGACTTAAGAAGAAGATAATTTAAAATGCAAGCTCAGGGCCAGCCCCGTGGCTTAGCGGTTAAGTGCGCGCGCTCCGCTGCTGGCGGCCTGGGTTCGGATCCCGGGCGTGCACTGGCGCACCGCTTCTCTGGCCATGCTGAGGCAGTGTCCCACATACAGCAACTAGAAGGATGTGCAGCTATGACATACAACTATCTACTGGGGCTTTGGGGAAAAATAAATAAATAAAATTAAAAAAAATAAAATAAAATGCAAGCTCAGTTCCCATCCCACTCCAAGCTAGCCAGTGTTATGATTGTTATCCCACTGGCAAGGGGAGGACGTGACACGTTGCAATGGAAAAAAAAGTTGAGGGTAGTTAATAGCATCTACAGAGAGAGGAGAGAATGTGAAAACGCTGGGGTCGTCATCTTGAAGTTTCTTGCCTGGTGAAACCAACTTGAAGTGGGTTCTTCCCTCCTCTGGAGCCAGCTGTCCGGCCAGAACCCCAGCTCTACCACTGACCAACTGCCGACAGATGACGGATAACTGCCCTGTGCCTCACTTTTCTTATCTGCAAAGTGGATGTGCTGGCGCCCATCGCCATGGGGGTTGTGAGCACTGCAGGAGCTAGTGTTGGGAAAGCAGCAGAGTGTGCCTGTCACACAGTAAATGTAGGGTGCAGGTTACACCAAGCTTCATGTCTCCTCTTGGGAATGTAGATGAGGAGCTGGATGTGGCTCCAGCCTCGTCTTGTCTTGGGTCTTCCAAACCCATAGGTTGTTATTTCTGGAAATGTTGTTAGGTTTTTTCTATATGATTCTGACATCTTTTATTGTGTTTCTACAGCTTTATTATCTATATACTTATTTTATTATTATTTTCTCTTTTAGAAAACCATTCACATAGATTAATTTGTAGTTGGGTAGAAGTACTGGTTGAAGCTATAGCAATAATGGCAAAGGTTTTACCTCTTCTAAAGACATGTGTGTTTGTCCAAAGGTTTGGGACCATCATCTGGGATCATTAATATACAGCTCGTCAGTGTTAACAGGTAACTCAACACTTTTACATGTTTTCTGTCAGTAGGCTCTGCGTAACGCAGTTCTCCTGGTGCACGTATTGTTATGTAAGCTGAAGCCATGACATTCAGGGGGATCTGAGTGTCACCCCTCAATGCCGTTTCACTCCCATCTGCATATAGAGATGATTCACTTAACAGTTAATTTTCTTGAAGGATATACTTGGACTCTGAGCCTTTCTATATTGGAAAATAGGAAAAGCATGTTGGTGGGCTCTGAGGAAAGTGTTGTCCACCATCGGGAAAGGGGACCCTTTGCCATCCCATAGAGCCAGGGCCCAGAGCTAAGGGGTCTTCAGGGCCAACTGCCTGATGGATCCGGTGGGTGTGGTCGGGAGAGAGGAACATGCCTGACTCCTGTGGGCAGAAAGCGCTCGTGAAGCTCGTGCGTTCTAGGGCAGCTGCGTACTTTCCACAGACTGTCTGTTGGTGGTGCCTGACACCAATGGGTGATCACACAGGTGGGGTCACAGTGTTGAGCAGTGCAGTGCAGGTGCCCCTGGGGCTGCAACACTGTGGGGCTGGCGGTGCTGCAGGGTATGGGCGTTCCCAAACTTCTGTTGCCTATGACCTCCCATGCAGGGTTCCCCAAGCACCTCCTAGGACTGGTTTCCAGGGTTGCTGTGTACCTCTTGCATGCACAATCCAGTTAACGTGGAGAAGAGGAATAGAAAATTCATATCAGACAATTCCTTTCTTGGGACAAGTAACATGAAAATACAGCTTAAAGAATATACAAATACCTTGTAACCTGGTAGAGTTACTCTTATATTTCCCCAAAGCTTCAGCACTCTTCCTGAGATTAATTTATCCATGTGGAGAATATGATATTTTAACAACTTGAATACATTTACCAATCTCAGGGATAAAGCATGTCTTTTGGAATTATGTTGGAATTATTTTCCTGAAATTAATTCTGTGGAATTATTATTTGACTGTCAAGAAAACAATGGTAAACTTGGTTTTGATGACATTTATAGTTTATTTAGGATATGCCATGTTTTTAATAACTTTATCTTAATTTTCCTAAATTCTTGACAGTTTAGATTCAGAATAAGTTTTAAATGATAGGACATCTGAGGCGATAATTTAAAAAAAATGACATCCAGTTGACTGCTGTTTTCATCACTGATTTTATTATTTCTGGCTTACTCAAGCGTTGTTCTACTGTGAGTTTACTGCTCCTTGGGTACTGGTGCTGTTCTCACTCTGGTCATAAAGCTGCTGGAATCAGTGATTCAGGGAGTGGTGTGAATGACTGCACCAGGCTCTCTGCTTGGGCAGACGGGGTGGGAGCATCGGATCCGTCCTCACAGGCTGTAATTGTAATCGACACCTCCCAGTGCTTTTTATGCGGTAGCGTCCCAGTCTTCCCACACTCACTCACAAATAAGTTTGTATTCACTTACAGTTTCTGCTTCCTGGGGAAGAAATTATTTCGGAATAGTTCAAACTTGACTCAAAGAAATATTGTAAGTAAAACTGATAGTTCTCAGTTTAAAATATATCAAGTGCTTTTAAAGCTAAATATTCACATATTCCATTCAATAGCCTCCCCACTCCTGAGTCTCTTCATCGATGAAGAAAGTCAGCAGCTGGTTACTGGGTGTGCTGATGGCCAGGTGAGAGCACCACAAAATCCATTTCCAATTTCAAATGTTGTTATGACTAAGTGAATACGTGCACAGAAGGTCTTTGGTTACTTTGTGCTCTTTGTGACTTGAAGGAACTAGTCGGCCTCAGCTGCTGAGACGAGGCCTTTGGGGGCCCCGGGCATCACTGTGGGGTTTTCACACCCCCGCCTGGACCCTCGACTGCAGAGGAGCTGTGCATCTGTACATCCTAAAGGCTCCAGTTGAGAACGACTCACACAGCTGTTAGTGTCAGCTTTATGTTTTGAAGATATTTGATATTTTTCAAAACTTAGTTTTTTAGGTGAGACATTTAGGTTCACTTCACAAAGTATGGATACTATTCCCACCCCCCCCCCTTTTTTTTGGTGAAGAAGATTTGCCCTGAGCTAACATCTGTGCCCATCTTCCTCTATTTTATGTGGGACGCCTGTCACAACATGGCTTGATGAGCAGTGCATAGGACTGTGCCTGGGATCCCAACCTGTGAACCCCAGGCTGCCAAAGTGGAGCACATACACTTAACCACTACACCACCAGGCCGGCCCCCTATTCTCTTTTTCAAAAGATCCTCTTGATATAATTTGGGAAAGTTCTTCCCTCCTGTGAGTCTTCTTTACTTTCACACAGAACACTTCACTTCTGACACTTCTGGTCACCAAATGTGTGGGGTTTTCCCCACAGGAAGCAACTCTCCACGACACCAGCAGGGTGTCCTACAATCTAACTGAATCTTGACACTGTCTGCCTGGAGAGAGGGCCAGACCCCACAGGTTAGGGGCTCAGTCCCACAAGATGCCCCCACTTCAGATACCAATTGCAAATAGTAGGTCCCCAGGTTACCCACAATTTCTGCCTGACTTGGCTACAAATTGGAAGTTCCCAGGACCCCCTCCTCGAGTTTGATTAATTTGTTAGAGCGGCTCACAGAACTCAGGGAAGCACTTGTTTATCAGTTTATTGTATAATAAAGGACATGATAAAGGATACAGATGAACAGCCAGGTGGAAGACTTACAGAGGGTGAGGTCTGGGAGAATCCCAAGTGCAGGAACTTCTGTCCTTATGGAGTTGGGGGGCATCACCGTCCTGAAGTGGATGTTGTCACCAACCCAGAAGCTCTCTGAAGCTATCCTTTTGGGATTTTTATGGAGGCTTCATTACATGGACAGGATTGATTAAATCATTGGTCATTGGTGATTGAGCTCAATCTCCAGCCCTTCTCCCTTCCCCAGAAGTCAGGGGTGGGACTGAAAGTTACAACCTCTAATCATGTGGTTGGTTACACTGGCCACAGTCCCCATCCTGAGGTGACCTAGGGGCTTCCCAAAGCCACCTCATTCACATAAGGAAAGACACCTGTGCAGCTCTCATCATTTAGGAAATTCCAAGGGTTTTAGGGGCTCCGTGCCAGGAACAGCGTCCAAGACCAAATATATATTTCTTATTATAAATCACAATATCACAGATATATTTTTGTAAAAGAAGATAATTTTATTTTGACAAAGTTGACTGCTATCACCCAGTGACATGCCAGATGTATTTGTGGCTGTGTATTCATGGTGTTTGGTTTAGAGAGAATGGGCTGGACTCCTGGAGATGAGAGCATGGTCTCCTCTTAGGTAGAGTGCTTTGTAGAAGACCTGTAAGTCTGTCTGCACCTAAAGTCAGTACTCTTGACTGACATGCCGATACGAGGAAGTACTCTGAGATTGTGGGATGAAGGAAGGAGGGGATCTGAGAATGGGCCTTAGGACCAGAGAAGAAGGTCAAGGGGGATCTCTGAAGGCCACTTGGACTTGTCTCTTGTTCCTGTCTGCTCCCAACTCATTTTTCTCATCTGGCTTTTCCTGCGTTTTCATCTGTACCGTTTGATGAGCGAGTCACGTGTCTATACATTTTGCTTTTGCAGCTTTGGATCTTCAGTTTGGGTGAAAGACATCATTATCGTTGTGTGACACATGTTGACCTGAAGAAAAAGACAGAGAGTGTCTCCTCCAGGAAGGTCAAGTCCCAGCCCCATAACCTGCCAGGTACTGTCAGTCACTCAACTCCTCCGAGGGGCTCATGCTCCACCCACAGCACTCCCTGAGCAGCCTGTCTAGGGTCCTATTAGGGGTGGTGGAGGGAGAATGGGGAGGAGATGGTTTCTTATTAGGAGAAGACCAGGGTCATGACCTTAGACATCCACCTGGTACCAGGCAGGTCTTGTGAGAAGGGATGGGGTGGGAGTGGGTGAAGGCTCCTCTTGTGTGCTTGGGGAAGTTTGGTGAACGGGGAGCCTGGTGAACACCAGCTTCTGCTGGTGGTTGTCATGGAGTGGGGAGACCAGGGGGGACAGATCTTCCAGCCTTCCATGGATTTTCCATCCTGAGTACACAGGTGTACTGCACATCATAGATTCCACTTCCATCAGTCTGGCCCTGCCCAGTATCCTCCAGGTCCTCAGCTGGTTTTCCCTGCACACCACAGATTCCACCTCATCCAGCGCAGCCCAGCCCGCCATCCTCTAGGTCCTCACCTGGTCTTCCCTACTCATCACAGATTCCATCTCATCCAACCCAACTCGCTATCCTCCAGGTCCTCACCTGGTCTTCCCTACTCATCACAGATTCCATGTCATCCAGCCCAGCATCCTCCAGGTCCTCACCTGGTCTTCCCTGCACATCACAGACTCCACCTCGGCCAGCCCTGCCCACCATCCTCTTGCTCGGCACCCGTCTTCTCACTCTGCCCAGAGTGGCTTCCACCTGTCCCCATCTCACTCCATCACCACCTGCTCTAGTAGCTCCCATACTGTCACAGAGGGAGCTGGCATCTTTCTAGAAGCACTGTTGATTTTACAGTTTAGTCCGGCTAACGGCTCTGTTTTATAGGTGTGTGCAGTCCAATAATTTTCATGTTACAGCAAGCATATTTCTGCTCTGCTGCCCTTCAAGTTTATCATCATTCTTATTCTTTCTTTTAATTTAGTTTGTGTGGTTTTTTTGTGTGTGTGGATAGCTTTAAATTCTTTCTGTTTAAAGTAGGTCAGAAATTACCTTTATCTAATATATCTATTTTTTCCTAATGCTTTAAACTTTAGCCTTCATGATTTCCTGTAAATACCCGTTTGTGACAAAGTCGACCCTAAATCCACTTCAGGAACACGCGTGGAACTCTGAGTTGACCAGCTCCTCCTTGCTTGTGTTTCCTGGTTCTATACTTGAAACTCCATCTTTCTGCCCTCCAGGCCGCACGTTGGAGGGTCTCGTTATTCCTAACCTTGTTCTTTACAATGTGTGTGTCTGAGTGTTTCTTACTCATGAGTTATTCTAGCTGCAGATATTTCCTACAACGTCTCACCCTGTTAACTGTTTGCCTTTACCTTGGTCGGTCATTTTAATTTCACTTCTCAGATCATCAATAATTCTGTTCCTAGAAGAGAGTCAGCTTCCCTCCACGAATGGACCGGAGAAAGGAGGAGAGACTGAAGTAGCGCTTCCTATCCTGAGTCTGGCGCACTGTGACCTGTCGCTTGTTCTAAGTTCTGAACGTGGATTGTAAGTACAAAGAACGTGGCCAATGCTGCATGAAGAAAACCTCTTCAAGTAGGTTCATTTTTTAAGAATGAGTAAAATAAAACCAAATTATTTTTATCTGTTTGAGTAATAATAACTGTGTTATTAGGATTGCGTATTTTAAGTCTTAAAGGTAAACTTGATTAATTACTTTTAAGTCTATTTTTTAAAAGAAATGAGATTATTTTAAATTTTGCTCATCAAGATCTAGGCAGATCTTGACTCTGTAATAGGGTCAAGGGGAGACAGTCATAACTCATTCTAAATTTTTCCCCCATCTGCGCCATATAGCATACATTTAAAATTGACCCCAAGTGAATTTTATTTGTTTCTATGTTTGATAGAAATATTATACATATTTGGTAATGTAAGGAAGCTGCTGTTTGTGATTAAAAGAATATATTACAATTGTCTTCACCTCTGGCCCACGCACAGCGTGGAAAGCTCCAGAGATGACTAGAGACCAGCCTCCAATCTTCCTGGACGAGGAGCAGTTGTTGGGGATGGAGACCTGAGGAGCCTGCTGGCCCAGCTACAGCCCTGCCTTGATGGCCCAGCAGTGGCGGCCACTGCCTGGTCTACACCACGGGGCTGAGGCAGGGACGGGAGCAGACGCTTGGCCTGTGCTTGAGCGGATTAGAGGATCTGAGGCCATGGATCCCTGACGTCTCCTCTTAGAGCAGAGGCAGGGCACAGAGGATGCGATTTCTGTTCACGATGACCCATCTGGTCGACCTTTGGAGTGGTGTTGGAGGACGAGGACACAGAGAATGAGCCCCAGGGGATTGGGGGCTGTTGGAGCCGGGTGACCGAGGCTGGTGTTTGGACTAGTGTTCTGGAACTGGTAGTGGGAGAGAGGTGGATCTGGAGAGCCATGCTGAGTCTGTCTGGCAAGCCTCAGTCCAGAATGAGGCTTATTAGTCAGTTTATTAACCTTTATCTAGTTTGTAAACTGAAAAAAAAGAAGCAACAGTGGAGCTCGTTTGCCTTCCTGTGAACTCTGCTACTCTGGGTGTAGTCTCTCTTGGGCTTGTTTCCTCATTTCCTAATGCTGCCTGGCAGGACCACTAGGTGCACCAGTTGGTGGCACTAAGCCTCACTCGCAGGGGCGCCCACCTGTGCGGTGTCTTGCAGAGGTCGCAGGCACCAGTCTCTTTTGTGACGTCAGAAGAAATAAAAAACCTTGCAGATCACAGTTGATTTGGGACCAGTTTGTGGCCATTTGTGTTACTTGTCTTCACTAGACAGTGGATGCCTAGAAAACCCCAAACAATTTTGATAGCAGCCGGGTCAAATGTAACTGTAGATCATAGATGGTTAGAACCAGCCTCCCGCAACAGCAGGTGAGAAACCTGTGAGTTGTCATCGTTATTCGTCGCTTCGTTCCACTTGCTGGAGATTTAGTGTGATGTTCAGTGACACCCTCTGGAACTGAAGTTTAAGGAGTAAGATCAGTACAGTTATTCTCTTTTTCTTTTAAAATTAGTGTTTCTTCTGAGAACGCCAGCTGCTTGTGGATCGGAAGCTCAGCTGGTTTATTCATATTTAACGTGGCAAACTTTGAACTGGAAGCAGTTTTATATTACAAAGGTGAGATCAGAATTCAAATAGAAATTTCATATGACATTGACATTTTCTTTGTCTACTATCTGGGGAGTAACAGTTTCAGTGTAGAAGGCCTGTCCCCTGAGTTTGAGGACGAGATGGGTCAATCACTAGCCCTAGCCGGCTCTCCTCAGGGTCACGGTCACCTCTGTGCTGCTGAATCCCACGGATGGTGTCTCGTTCTGCTCTGACCTCTGGTGGTGCCCCCCGGAAGCTACTCCTCGTCCTTCGTCCCCTTCCCTATCTGGCTCTGTGGGACGCCCTTCCCCTCCTTGCTCGGGGGTCTGTGCCAGGTTGTATCAAGGACTCTTATATTAGCTCTCTCAGTATTTCACGCTGAAGACGTGGCACCCGTGCCTGGACAACCTCACAGCATGTCAGACTCAACCTGTCTAATTTGAGATGATGTGCTCTCCTTTCCAACCTGGTTCCTGTCCTAAGATTCTGTCCACTGAGTTGCTCCCGCCAGAAATGTAGGCATGACTACCGGCACCTCCCTCTTCCCTCCCCTCAGTCCCACCTCCAGTCATTTCAGTGCCCCTCTTCTGGGAAGGGGCCCTTCTCTTCCCTCCCATCCCCTCCCCTCCCCCTCCCTCGTGGGCAGCAGCCAAGGTCACTTTTAAAGGCAATCTCCCGCCTTTCTCCTTTAAGCTCTCTAGGCCCCGGAAGCTTTGGGGATGGAGTGGATTCTTAGTTTCGCCCAGGCCCAGGTCTCACCTCTTCCTGGGAGGTTGCTTCTCCCTTCTCATCGTGTTCCAGCTTGGTTAAGGGACTTTCCTTGAGCTCTGTAAACGTTGGTGCCTGAGCGCTGCTCCTCATTCCTGGGCTGGCCAGTCCTGCTGTCCTTTAAGACTCAGTGAAATGTGGCTCAGATCAGGGTCTATGTTCTCATGGGAACTCTGTCTTTCCTCCCCAGCACTTTCACAGCCATGTTACAGAGTTATGTTTGTGGTCTGTGCTGAGGTCCACTTCCCACGGGGCTCCAGCTGCACCCACGGAGGGACCCTGACTTGCTCTCTTTGCGTCCCAGCCCCCACCACGGCCTGTGTGCAGCAGGCACTTAGGATACGGTGAATAGATGTGTCAATGAGTATTTGGTTCTCTTTACCTACCCCTTAATCATTGCTTCTTCATTTCTCTTTGCTGAAAATGAAGATTTTAGGAACCTCAGCATTCAAGTTGCCGGATCATGTGCAATGGTGAGCAAAACTGGTCATCATGAGGTGAGTCACGAAACATTGCTGTACTTGGATTCTGTAGGATGCATCTGTCTGTCCTATGATCTACACTTACCTTCTTCCCTGTATTATAATGACTGGCTTACTAACTGAGATTTATCCGTGAAAGTTTGAATGACTCACACAGTAGTGTGCAATTTCTATTACCAAACTATACAATAGTGTAAATATATACTCTATGTATACATACTATATAATAGGACTGTGTATAGATATACACTATATAATAGTACTATGTTTACACACACTATATAATAGTACAATATATATACATATTCTATGATAGTACTATGTATAATATAAACACTCTATAATAGTACTATATACACACACTCTATAATAATACTATATATATACATACTCTGTAATAGTACTCTTTATATACACACACTCTATAATAGTATTATATATATATATAAATACTATATAATAGTACTATATATGTAATATACACACTGTATAATTGTACTATATATAATATAAATGTGTATGTATACACATTCTATAATAGTACTACATACACTATATATATACATATACTATATATATAATATACACACTATATAATAGTACTATATATCATATAAATGTATAATAGTACTATATATACACATTATATAATTGTACTATATATACATATACTATATAATGGTACTATATATACACACACTATATAATGATACTATATATACCTATACTGTGTAATAGGACTATATATGCACATAGTATATAATAGTACTATATATACATACACTATATAATAGGGCTATATATACACACACTATATAATAGGACTATATTTATACATACACTATATAATAGGACTATACACACACACACTATGTAATAGTACTATATATATAAATACACTATATAATAGTACTTTAGATATACGTACTGTATAATAGGACTATATAAATACTATATATAACAGTGTAATATTACCTATATATATACACTGTATAATGGTGTAACTATAAGTGAAGCAGATTTAATTTTTGAAGAACTGTATTGATGACGAGAGTTATGGATACACGTTCACACCTGTATCACAGAAATAGAGTTAATTCACACCCCGTCCCTCCCGTGCAGGCGTTCTGCTTACTCACGTCCATGTTCGGAAGTGAGGTTGCCATGTTGGAGATCCACGTCGCCGCTCTGATGAGGTCTTGCCGGCGCCCCGACTTGGGAGAGGATCTCTCAGTGCTGCCTCGGTACAGTCTGTTCAAGGAGGACATACAGGAGCTGGTCTATCAGTCGGCAGAATTTAGATTCCTTTTTATCTTAAGAAATTAAAGTTTAGTAAACTCTGAAAGAAATTCTTGCTCGTGCCAATGCCTCCATCTTGTTTAAAACTAAATGGCTCATCATTTATTTTAATGTGAAACACTATTTTATTTCAGGATAGAATTTAGATTATAAAACAGCACTTTTATTAAAAATATTAATGTATTTCTGGGAAGAATAAGCTTGGTAGTTTCCTTACATTCAAATATCGCATATCCATATCTGTGTGAATTAATCATTAGAACTGTTCTAAAACATGCATTTTGTTGCAACAGCTCCATTGTAGTATTTTGCCCTCATAGTATGATTTTGTGTTTTTATTTTAGCTCTGGTGTCTTACCAACCTCTCCACTGTATTTTGGAATTGTTGAGGAAAAAAGTGGCAAGCCGGGTAGTCAAAAACAATGTGGTTAGTATAACATTCTCTGAATATAAAATACAAAAGTTGTTCCTTCTCAGTTGTTATGATGTTAGCATCGTTCTGTTGCTTTGTGAATTTGTGTTTATCAAAGACAGCGTTCAGGGCATCCTTCTTTCCGTTACACCTTTGTTTCTCTGCTTCTCTGCATTCTACATGCTGTTTTTGGTAGGCAATGTGCTAGATGTTTCTTCTCCTGAACTGGGTATAATTCATAGGAGTTCAAATATATTTAATTTTTAGTGTCCCATGAACAGAATGTCACATAGACTGAGTTCTGCGTGTGGCCCATTTCATGACAATGTGGGCAGTCTCTTCCTGATGACGCCCCTCTGGCCAGCACTGCAGGGAAGAGCTGAAGTTTTAGTCCATAAGGATTTGAAATACGCAGTATTAAACATATTGCAATTCTGTGTTATTTAAGGAAGGAGAAAAACATGTTTTGTTGTCTTCTTATGCCTTTAATGGCCTCGACTTAACCTTCTTTGCTGGTATTGGTTGGCTTGGCATGAGCTATGAAATCTCTTAAATTTTTAGGTCATAAACTCATTCCATCTGTTTGAACTTTTCTGTTTTTAAGGCACCGTGTTCTTGTTGTGTCCAGAATGAAATGGCAATGTTAAATATTTGCTTCACCTTTAAACTCATTTTTATACAGCTGTACGGAGTGTCGTAAAGGACCAGCCCCTGATTTTCCACAGTAGAGTCAGGTCATCTGGGTACGCAGCCGCCCCGCAGTGAGTAAACCAGCGCACAAGCCACTTGCACTGGAACAGGAGCAGCAGTGTGGCGCGCCATGGAGGCAGGGCTCAAATACAGACAGAAGTGTGTCCTTGAGGGTCATCTCGGGGGTGAGGAGACAATGAACGAACAGCGGTTAAAATGTGGACCTCAGAATGTTGCAGTCACAAAAGTGGCAGCAGCAAGCATTTATTGAGTGCTTACTGTGTACCAAGCCTCAGATCACCCTCAGATCAGATTATCCTTGGTTGATAATCGTGATAATGAGTGATAACCTAGTGAGGGGAGAGGAGAGGGTGGACTGGGACCAAGAGAGAGGGAGGCAGCGATGGAGGCCTGTCTACACTGGCCTCGCTCTAACTCGGGGCATTAAAATCCAGTCTGTTCAGCACTCACATCAGCAGCCCTGACTGTTTGAGGTGGGCGGGGAGGGGTCAAAGACGAGGAAATGTGAAACGGCGATGTTTGAGGACTTTCAGGTCCTGGTGTCTCAGGAGCCCCATGTCTCTGAGGCAAGCTTGGCTTTTCTGTCTAAAATGCAGACGTGCCACCCTCCTCCCACCCCAAATCTTGACCCTTTATCTGTTCTTAACGCAGTGACAAAAATGGCCATTACCTGGAAGCCCCATGGGGCCCCCATGCCGAGCACAAGTAGGGTCTTTGGTAGGCTCTCCAGGGTTCTCCTTGGTTAGCATCCACCCACCCGTCCCCATTGACCTCACCTCTACCGTGCTTCCCGCCTGGACCCCCTGTAGCCACATCTGGTCACCCTGTCCCATCTCATCCATCTGTCCCTCCTGCCCTGGCCCTTCCCACCCCGGTGTGCCTCCGTGTGGTTCCCCCAGGTCTTGCAGGGCAGCCAGGCTCTGCTTTCAGTGTGCAGGCTGCTGTCCTGGCCGCTCTGTGTAAAGTTACAGCCTCCGCCACCTCTGCCAGCCCATTCCTGCTTTACTCCTTCTCTTTGGCTCAACCACTGGCTGACATGACTGTGTGTTTTACTTATTATCTGTTCCATAAACCCCCGGGCCTGGGACAGCACCTGGCACCTCGGACCCTCACACAAAGCACTTGAGGGCAGGTGGATGGATGGATGGATGGATTCTGAATTTGTGCCCCAGCAAAATTGCACAGCAGTCCATGCCCTGACCCTGTGGGATGGCTCAGCAGTAGTGTCATCTGTACATTCAGTGTGGACTGCTAGGGTCCACAGTATTGAGACATGTTTTGAGTGTGGGGCCCTGTGTGGGAGCCCAAGGGCAGGGTGGGGGCCAGAACATGGACGGCCCTGGGTTTGAACTTTACAGGAAAAGTACACGGTGCTGTTACAGGATTTTCAAGGGGATCACCTGGTCGGGACACGCAGCACGGCGACACCTCTGAGGCAGTGTGAGATGGGTGGAGAGGATGGGAGGCTGGCCTTGACTGTGCCCGCCTCTCTTCCTGGTATGCTTCCCAAACTCTAGCCCATGGGTGGCATGCTTGCTCCTCCTCATGCTCCCAGCTAGTCCCTGCTCAGTGGCCCTCTGCCCTTTGTTCTCTGTGGGGGACACTCTCCTCTGATTCTCACAGGGCTTGTGTCCTTGCCTTATCCAGGCCCCAGCCGGTGTCAGCACCCCGAGGGAACTTGCGGATCCTCAGCAAACATAGAGCCCCCAGGTGTGGCCCCCTCCTGCCCCGTCTTGTCCTGACAGCCCTGGGCTGAGCGTGGTGCTCGCCCTGTGTGGCCTGGATGCAGGTGCAGGGTGGGGATGTGGCTGTCCCCATGTCTGTCCCTGGACCTCAGCACCACACATCCAGGGCACACACAGCACGGGCTCTTCCCAGCGCTGTCAGAAGGGCCCCAGCTGCAGCAGAGGGGCAGCTCTCCAGGGCTCTGTGCATCTGAAAAATGGGCCAGTACAAGGTGATTGTTTAATTAACATCATTATTTAAAGTTCACATTTTATTAAAGGGAGAATTCAGTGTGACTTCCCGGTACTTTGCACTTCTGTTTCTGAGTTGACTTGTAGAATAATGTCCATAAATGGAATTTGACTTCTATTGTGATTATATAAATCTATTCTCTGGAAAGGAAACAATGTCATAAGAATCATAGTTTGTATTCAATTTAAGGGACATTCTGCCTTTTTGAGAAGTTTTTTTTTTCTCTTTTTTGCTGAGGAAGATTAGCCCTGAGCTAACATCTGTGCCAATCTTCCTCTACTTTATATATGGGATGCCGCCACAGCATGGCTGACGAGTGGTGTAGGTCCAGGCCTGGGATCCGAACCCGTGAACCTAGGCTGCTGAAGCGGAATGTGCCGAACTTAACCATTAGGCCAGGGGGCTGGCCCCCTTTGTGAGGAGTTTTTTGATTTATAACTCTTTCACACAAATCTCACGAAATGCGATCAATAGATAATTTACAATGTGATCTTTGCAAAAATAATCTTAGTTTTTTTCTAGTAATCCATAATTTGTAAGTAAATAGTACAGTATTCTCCAGAATTTTTATACCTAAATATGCTTTATTTTCCAGTAGTGAATAGCCAATATAGATATATAATTGGAAAAATAGCTGTTAAAATTAAAATAATTAAATGTTCAGTTTATTAGTAACTTGGGACACTGAAAATGTTTATGTATTTATATATATTTTTTCACCACAAAATATAGGTCTGTTAGAACCTTAGAACTTTCAATCTTTGAGAATGACGTAAGAGTTTTCTTTCCACAGTGTAACCATGTTTTTACCAAAAACTAATATCAAGAATGATGGTAAAAGATCTTCAAGCTGCAAGAACAATTACAAATGGTATGTAACTAGTTTATGCATTCAAAGTAAATTTGAAATAATTTGGAGAGACCCTTCAAATATTTAACTGAATTTTTTTCAGACAGGTATAAGACCTTTTTTTTTTATTTTTTTGAGGAAGATCAGCCCTAAGCTAACATCCGTGCTAATCCTCCTCTTTTTGCTGAGGAAGACTGGCTCTGAGCTAACATCTATTGCCAATCCTCCTCCTTTTTTTCCCCAAAGCCCCAGTAGATAGTTGTATGTCATAGTTGCACATCCTTCTTAGTTGCTGTATGTGGGATGAGGCCTCAGCATGGCCGGAGAAGCGGTGCGTCGGTGCGCGCCTGGGATCTGAACCCGGGCCGCCCGTAGCGGAGCGCGCGCACTTAACCGCTAGGCCACGGGGCCAGCCCAAGGCCTTATTATACACAAATATGTGTATGTTATTTATATATATCCTTTTAGTCAAATTTAATTCTTTCACATTAATCATTTTTCAGACATGCTGTTATTTTTACCACCTTAACAATTTTGGTATAATTGTTAAAATTTAGTTTTAGAAAGTATTGTAGCTAATGATTATTCTTGATAAGCTTCTTAGGTAATAATTGGATGGAAAAATTTGAGCAGTTCTAGTGCTGAGTGTTAATTTTGAATGGTGTGATTTGGAAAGGCTCCCCTTCATCCAGCATCCCCATGGCCCTGGGCTGGCCTTCTGGCTCTGGCTCCATACCCTCGTGTGATGTGCACAAGTCCCACAGATTCCCTGGGCCCGTTAATCTAGACAAGAAGGCTTTTGGGGGGCCCCCCAGGGCCCTCCCAGTTCCACACTTGAAGGTTATGTCATCTAAACAGAGATATGGGCTACAGTGTTTAACATGTTACTCACTTAATGCAATCGCATCTGCACCGGGACAGTCATGAGCTCTGCAGAAACGTGCACCAAACGCTGATTTTACCTGTAGTTAGTGATGTTTTCTTGAACCCTGTGGCTCTTCCTGCCACTCTCTGCTGCTCTCCATTTGAGTTGGTCATTGATGTTAAGTATGTGCCTACAACAAATGCCCTCAAACCCTATAAAAACATTCAGTGGTCCAGGGTGAAATGCGGCATCCAGAGTTATACTGAACTCTGATTTTTTTGGTGATATTTTTCTATGAGGAGCCTGGCTCTCCAGCCTGAGCAAGTCTTGTTGATACGTTTCTGGCCCTCGGGGTCGTTGTGCTGAAAGGCTGCAGGTGGCCGAGCTGGTGATGACCCAACACGATGTCCTGGGTACAGGCAAATGTTTCCTAGAGAAAGGCAATCTGAACACCTTCTAGATTTGACTTCGAGAGGATGGCCTTGTCTCTCTGCCAGGCAGGCTTGCAAAACCAGTCTTACAGCTTTTACAGAATACACATGGTAGGAATAAATGCATATTCTTTGTCATTCAGTAACTTCCAGTTTTTAGGACAACATACTTTGAGATCACAGCAATTTTCCCTTTCCTGCCCTGTGCTGGGCGCCTGGCGTGTTTCTACGTTTCTCAGACCCCGTAACGACACTGTGACAGGTGGTTTCCTGTTCAATTTACGGTGTGGATCCTGGGACTGAGGAGGCCACAGGGGTACAGTGAGGAGTCAGCCTCACACCGCCAGGCTGGTCCCCGGCCCATGGCCTTGCACCACCTGGTGGCTGTAAAACCAATTGCTGAAACTGAACAACGGAGAGATTTTGCCTCAAGGTCTGGCTGCCCCTAAGATGGGCCATGTGCCCTGCTCACACGTTCCTCCTGCCCTGCCCTGGATCTTGAGCTTCAGTCCTTTTTCCCAGCCTTCCTTGGCTTCATGTAGAAACTGGGAATGTGATTATTTTCATGGTAAATAGAAGCCATTTGTAGATTATTTGAGTAATTAGTATTATCACAGCCACCCACATAGAGTATGAAACTGGGACGTAAAATGTGTTTTCTCTAAGAACCCTCCCCCAATCATCATAGTCTTCTTGTCAATTTCTATTAAACCCGATAAATCCTTATATTTTATACTTAAAACACATGCATTTTTTGGCACTATGGAATATAAGTCTATATTAAAGAGTTATTTCATGGTTTTGAATCTAAGAGTTTATATATATATATATTCAAATTTGATGGAATAAAATTATACATGCAAATAGGGGAAAATCCACTTCTAGTTTGATTTTGATTTTTAATCTCACTTTGAACTGTCTCTTGATCTTTATTATCTCTGATCTTCCTTAAAGTAAGGAATACCCTTTCGAGAGCTCTCTGCCCAGCAGACTCAGCAAGCAGCTCGCTGTAGCCGGTGACACTGCGGCCGTGAGCTGTCTTCAGTTCTCAGGTAGGCTGAGTCAGGTGGGAGCCTGCTTTGCGGCCTGTGTTAAGAGTCTCTTCTGCCCACTGTTCCGTGGTAAACGGATTTTTAAAATCTTGGTTACTTGAAGTTACGTGGCCTTGTCTAGTCTAAGTTAAAATCAAAGCTCACTTCCCCCTGAGTGGAGGCAGAATTAGTGCAGAGCATTGGCGTTTGGGTGGTGGCTCCTGTGGCACACCAGCACCTGGAGTGGGGATTACAAGCTCCTCCAGGTCTGCGCTCTGTGTGTCTGACCGTCTCCTCCAGAAGCTGTCAAGGGGGCCTGGCAGGAGGGCTGCCCATGAGGGTTATTTGTAGGTGAAGAGAAGCTACAAAATAGTCACCGACTTTCCCCTGGAGACCGGTCATCTGGTTTGTCGATGGGGTGAAGGAAAGTGCACCCATGTCGCGTGTCAGCACCGTCCCTCCCTCAGATGGAGGCTTTCCTGCAGGCGAGCTCTCCCAACCTGCTGGAGCCACTCTGCTCTCAAGTGTGTCAGATGCCTTTACCAGACTTCTTTTCTGGGACATCAGCATTTCTCTAAATAAAGTTTGAAAGAAGTTAGAAGGCAGCCCTCCTATAGGTAGCTTCACCATTTGAGCTCTTTTATCAGAAGTAAACACTGTTTCTGGGTTCTGGATTTTCCTGGCCCTCAGTCCAGTCTATGATTATAGATGTAGGATCCTCAGGTCTGAATTTTATGGGGGACGTCTATAGTTTATTTCCATCCTGTTGTATGGAAACGTTTAGGTGGAACTGCTTAGTCAGATATGCCGCTTAAAGCATTGGTTGATGGGAGGCAGGCTGCCCTCGGACTCAGGGTGGGCGCCCTGGATTTCTGGTGTCGTAGGTTCTGATCCTGCGCTGACTGTGGACCAGCCCGCAACCCCTGGCTCGCCGCCTCTGCTCCCAGTCCTCGGGCTGCTCTTCTGTAAATGAGGTCTCGAGGGAGTGACATGAGGGCTGGCACAGGGCCTGGCCCCTGGGGACTCTCAGTGTCAGTGGTCAGCAGTTGAGTAAGTGCAGTTACCTGTTAGCTTCAGATTTTCTCACTACCAGAGGAAACGAGCATCAAGTTAACTGAACATCCTATACTGTACCTGCTGCAGGTGCGACCCTGGTGACCGAGGATTTTATAAGGGGTATCTCTCACTTTTTTAAGCAGATGATGGACGGCGGCTGGCCTGTGGCTTAGCCAACCACTTGTCACTGGTCTTTGATGCCGATCTTACCGGGACACCTGCTGTTTTTTCAGGTAAAATGTGTCCTAATTTTGGTTAATATAAACTTACAGGTGGGTCTCATTTTGGTCCTGGTTATTAATTGCTAAGGGCCACTTTTGTTTCCTTCAAGACAAGAATGGGAGCTAAGGCTTGCATTGAGGGGATGGAAGGATGAGATTTAATAAACTGGACTCCACTGAGCCCGGCTAAACCAGACAGAGTGAGGCCAGAGCTCAGGCATTTTCACGACTGGTGCCCGTGGTCAGCGGCCAAACGTTTGCAGGGTTCTAGGGGAGCGGGAGGTCAAATCTCATATAGACGTGTGATGAAATCTGTTGTGAACGTTAGTAGGGTTCGTACAGAGATGTGTTGATAAACATAACAAGGCAAAGCGTTTTTTCAAGTAAGTACATGTGAGATGAGGGCAGCGATGTTGTGTTACCATTTCAGCTTCATGACTCTGACACATGGATTCCTAGTCCTGAAACCTTGAGAAATCTCACTCTTTATTGGATTCCTGATGCTGCTTGATTCAAAACTCACACTTGGTAGATATTTTAACAACAGAAACACAAGAAAAAACAAAAAGTCTTTCACTAGTCCGTGTGTTTTTGTGAACTGGAGAGGTGAGGAGTTGGTGGAGGAATTAGTGGAAGGTCGTAGCCCCAGGCCAGCAGGGAGGCCACACCCAGCCGTTGACAAGAGCGTCCTCCCGCGTTTCTCCAGGTCCCAGACTCAGGCTGGTTCCAGGGTCTGTGGTGGGCTCCCTGACAAGGAAGAAGGAGGGCCCTTCTGACGGGAGACCAAGTCACTGCCTCTTGCATGGTGTCTCCTGGAGCATCTTTATTCCTCATCCTACCAGCCTCAAGCCTGTGTGATTCTAGTGTATTCTGTGGCTCTCCAGGCTCAAAACCTTTGCTTCCAGTGCCCTTGTTAAAGGACCTGGCATATGACGGGGAACTCCGCGTGGGTGTCTTTCTGTGCTCCAAAATTGGTATAAATGGTAATTATGTTGGTTTTGGACATTACGTATTTTATTATTGAAAAAGGGCCACTGCTGAATTAAGAAAATGCACTGGATATTTAAACTCATCCTTAAAAAATGTGGGTTCTGTTTTCATTTGGGGAAAGAGTGATTATTACCCACCTTACCCATTCTAGAGCATCATTTCACCTTACGTGGTGAGTTGCTAGCAGTCAGGTAATTCAACTTTGAAAATACGATTGGTTTCTCAACAGTTACCCAGAAAGCAGAAAAATGGGTTATTCCCATCATAATCTAAGACAAATAAAATAAGTATATTCTGGATAATTTGATTCTGGTCAAAATTAGATGCTGAATTAAAATTCACTCCTGGAGAACTCAGTGCTCTGAGTACAACCAGGTGGTGCATCGTGATTTGAAAACCAGTGATCTCCATTGTATTTAATTTAATAAAGGCGTTTACATTTATGCTTCAGAATTTAGAGTGGTTTCCATCAAACGTTGTTGTCTAGTACAAGGATTGTGGGGCACCCCGGTTCTGTCCCTGTGCTTCGTGTGTGCCTGGCACGGAGCAGATGCTCAAGGGCACGGGTGGACGGGTCTGAGCACGTTGAGGGAGAGCCATGCCAGAGGGCGAGGGGTTTGACAGCTAAATTCCGGGATCAGTCACTCCAGAAGATTAAACTTAATTAAGATTTCATTAAAGATTATGAAATTGTATAAAAACTAATTCTTATAAAAGGATGAAATTAAGCTCCAATGTCTTGCTTCCTGATCTGTCTGGGCTCTGCCGGGTTACTTCCTTGTCACGTGGGGGTGGCGCCCTGGCTCCCAGTCCACGTGGGGCAGTTTGCATCACAGACGCTGTCAGTCCTTTCCCTCCAGCGGGAGCCTGGCCTGGGTGGAGTCCAGTCAGGGTTCTGCGTCCTGCTCTTTCTGTTTCTGAAGTGCATCACCCGTCGTCCGCAGGGCATGTCGGTCAGTGGGCGGGAGACCTCCACGTGGTTCTGGTGGGATGGCGTGTGCGACAACGAAATTGAGAGAAGAGCAGGAAGAGGGAGCTGAGCGGCTGGAACTGGGGGCCTGGCTCCAGGGGGACCTAGTTCTCACCCCACAGTGCTGGGTCTGTGACAGGCCCCGAAGTTGTGGCCTCATGTGTCCTGGGTGGAGCCTGGAGGAGAAGGTAGGGTTCCCAGTGTCTCATTTACAGTTGGAGAGGCCTGTCCCTGATGCCCTGAGCTGAAGCACCGTGACACTTGGGGACCAGCAGAGGGACATCCTTTACAGTGTCTGTGCTGCGAGTCCTTCTGCCTTCGCTGGTGACTTGGCCGTTGTCTGGGTGCCCAGTGATGGCACTATACCCAGTGACCATGTAGTACTAGTTAGTGGTGGCAGGGACAGAAAGACGAGAGGAGGGTATCCCCACTCTCTGGTGGATTACAGCTTAGTTGGGAAGAATTAAACCCAGTTGAGTGGTGGTGGCTTCACCATGTGTGTCCCTCTGACGTGTGGCCTCATTGGCCCCTTTGCCGTCTGGGTGAGGTGGTGGTGAACTGAGTTCCCTCATGCGATATGTGAGGAGGGAGCCACTTAGCTGGTGACATGGCCAAGTCCAAAGGTCCCATAGCTAGGGGGGTCAGACCTGTCCACACCTTTCCCTGGGCCGAGGCTTGGCCGCCAGCACCCGACACTACACGAGGGGTTGTTAAGCCTCAGGAACACTGACCTTCAGCAGAACATCTCAGGCACTCATGACACTTAGAGCCAAGTCTGTCAGCTAAGCAGCTGTGATGGGTGTTCGCAGCCTGACTTGACCAGCCTTAGTGCTTCTCGTAAAACTCCCGGAATTCACACCAGAGGGCAGCAAAGCCATTTCAGATGTTTTTCTGCTCCATAAACTTGAGCTCTAAGTTTTCTTGGGTCATGTTACAGAACTGCGATATATACTATTTATAAATCTTTCCCAGTTCGTCCACTTTTTCCTTGTTGGTTTTCTGACAAGTATGGTATGGTGATATTGCAATTCGTGGTCTAATCTTTAAATTACCGTGTGTACTCACATGCTGAGGCCAACGTGGAGGACGATCTACAGGCGATGAGATCTTGCCGTGGCGAGAATGTGCTCATGGTTGTGCTTACTTATCCTATACAATTTCAGCCACAAAGCGCTTGGACCCGGGAGGTAAAGGGTCGTCATTCTCGAGGCCATGGGTCGCTGTTGTCCAGGACGCAGTGTGTGAAGCTGCAGATGGTGTCCACCGCCCTTCCCAGCGCTTTACAGGGACTCGGGGAAGTGCAGCTTTGCCACAGCACAGAGGTTTCTCCTTCCTGTGTGTCCCCACCTCGCCTGCCCCCCACGGCACCCCACAGTACAGCTCGCTCTGCCACGGACGCTGGCACATCAGCCCTCCAACCCTGCCCTCTTCCCGTCTCTCATCCTGTCACACAGGATGGTTTTCATTTCCAAAACTCTGAGAAGCCGTCTGTGGCCACCTTGCTTTGTGTCTCCTTGGGCTCATCCACTTCTCAGAGCAGTGGGTGGTGGCGTTGTTAGGGGACGATGTTAGGATTGCCTCCCCTGGAACGATGGCTGGTCTGAGTGGTTAGCAGGGCAAGGAGGGTTCAGAAATCAGCGTGCCTGCAGGCTCAGGAGCTGGAGACACACAGATACCCAGCCAGAAAGAGCAGGGCTGGCAGGTCGGGCCGGTGTGGGAGTGAAGTGGGTGGACAGAAGCACTTACCAGCTCTCTGGCCACAGCGCTCCTGACACTTCATCAAGACCCAGCTGACTGGCTGGGCAGCTCAGAGCTGAGGCAGACGAGGGCCGGGGAGCCTAGCGGGGTGAGGTGTGGATGTGCGATCGTGTTGACCAGATGCGTGTCTGGGGTAGTTCAGCCCAGCCCCTGGCACACACGAGTGTCGCTGCGTGTTAGTCCTTCCCTCTCTTCCTGAGCATCAATTCATCTTTCTACAAAAGGAGCGGATGCAGTCAATGGTAACTGGGTCCATTATCTGTATATTTAATTATTCTGACATTCTAATTGCCTGACATGAAGACGGGGTCACATCGTAAGACATGTTTTGGCTGTCTGCCGAATCATGGCCGATGATGGCGGTGACAGAAGAAGTTGGAGAGGGTCATAGTGGCCCAAAGAACAGACTGTAGCTGTCAGTTGAGAACCTCTTTTCAGGCATTTTGCTGAGAAGTGAGAAGCAAGTGATGATCTCCTTGACCCAGTGATGGGAGACTAACCTCCTTTTCTTCCCCTCTTGACTCGTTCCTTTGTAATCCTATGTATTTCAGAAGCTCTTATGGGGCGTATTAAATAAACTCTGGTTGTTAGTGTGATAGCCGGTGTTCAGTTTCATATTAGAGGGCTGGGCCCTGCGGATACATTCAGACGCCTGAAGACCAGCGCAGTCGTACCATCAGAAATCAGCAGTTCAAAACAGCCACTTTTGTTGTAGACAAAACCATTCAAATCCATCACAACAAATAATCAGATTACATGTGACTATGCTCAGTAAATCCTTTTGACTTTTTCCTTCAATGTTGACAGAATAATAGTTCTTTAAAATGCATTACTGTGAAACCCATGGATTTCTATATATTTTATAATACTATATTTTTTAAGTTTCTACATTTTATAAGTTTCTTCTTTTAAAATATACACTCACAAATGCACTCATAATTTTGAACTTCATACTTTAAAAATGTGAATTTTGGCAACACCTCCTTCAGAAACCATATTAAGCCTTTACATGAAGTATAATTCCTGCCCTCAGGCTTCGGTTCCACCTGCATCACTGTAGCTCGGAAATGCCTCCAGCTGGGTCATTTATTCCTGGAAGAAGTGCAGTGCTGGTGTGTTGGGTGGAATCCTTGCTCCTTCCTTCCCATTTCTGTCCCCTGTAGGTCACGACAGGGCAGTGAGCACCGTGTGCTGGAGCCACAACGGCAGGTGGCTGCTGTCCACTTCCCAGGACGGGACCCTGCGGGTCTGGTCGGTGCGCAGGACGGAACTCGCGTTGTGTCTGGTAATGGGTAATTCCTGTTGGTCCCAGGCAGGGATTTCAAAATGACCAGCCTTGTGATCTCGAGACTGTCAGGTAGTCACAGCTGTCCAAACAGAACTTTCTCCAGGGTCCCATCTCCTGGGACGATTAGATATTGTCTCAAATGTGTGTATTTACACACATATGTAATGTGCACATGTGCGTAGCACACAATACACATACATACATCTATGCACATGTGCACATGCATACAGTTAAATATGTCCTACATTCGTGTGGTCTAAAAATGGCAGAACAATTAATGCTAAAATATTGGAATAATTTTAAATATGAATTGGATGTGATTTTATAGTAGAGGTAATAATAATGGCCAAGGGGATATTATGTGGAGGCAGTAACTTTGGGGGAGAAAAATGACTGGTTTCAGTGAACGTAGAGGAGATCATTTGGAAATGAATGAGAAAGGAGAGACAGGAAGGTGACAGTTGTCTTACAGGTGAGGCAGGAGAAGAGGTGATAACAGGAGACCCAGTTTTGATTAATCAGATTGTGAGCTGGTGAATTGCAGATTTTCAAAGATATTGTTAGCTTTTATTTTCTATGAGTCTTGCTGTAAAAAGGGGAGGGAGTCCTAGGAAAACTGACTGAGAGAAAGTTGGTCAGACCTAGGACTGCGCAGGCTGAGGCGTTTGGCAGCAGCTGCAGGTGGAGAAACTTGTTCTAGGCTTGTTAATACCACCAACGGCTCCTACGCCGTAGTGTTGTGGGTTGTGGGGTATAAATGTGAGAGCAGACACCTCAGAACTGCATTTTAAAACGTTTAGAATTTTGGCTTTAATAAAATCCTTGCTACTTAACATGTTTACTGCCAGGTTTCAAATTTTTTTCATTTTTTATAAGTTTTTAAATGGCCAGAATTCAAAACACTCATTATAGTAAAATTTTAATTATATAACGTCTTTTAAAAGTAGGAAGACAAAACAAAAATTGTAAATTGGCTCTAACAAAGTATGTCTATACATTTAGAATGAGTAGATGTTTGGTGTTAAGATGAAAGAACTTCATATTCAGAGCAATAGTGCTTTTTATTAACATTTATTATATTGGTAATAATTACTGATTTGCGTTACAGGGCAAAGGCATGTTTTCTAAGCCCATACAGTCTGCACAGTTTTACTACATGGATACCTTCATACTGTTGTCGTCCGGCCCTGAGTGCCAGCTCCTCAAGTATCATGTTGACACCTGCAAAGAGGACCTGAGAAGGTAGGCGGCTTCCCTTCTGCGCCTCTTCTGTCTTCAGTTGGAGAAGCTCGGTCTCAATAGTGAGTTACATGTAAATAAAGTATTTACACTTACAAATGTCATTCACAACGTGATCATAACTGAGAATTCCTGAGGTTCTAGTGGGAGCTGAAGAACCGGCTTCTCCACATTCAGGGCTTCTCTGAGCTGCCCCTCCCTTCTGGGGCCTGCGGTGTGGTGTAAGGAGGGGACTCAGGCTCAGGAAACTGCACTGTGACTTTGGTTCTTGCAACACGTTTAACTGATGTTATGTGGGACGATTGTTACAATAAAGTTAAAATTATGAAATATTTCATATATACGTAATACTAAATGCCTACTTAGCTACACCGAGCTTTCGCAAATGATAACATTTTGCTTTCTTTGTTTCTAAAGTATTTTAAAGAAATAAAACGTCATAGAGAGAATTAGTGACCCGCCCCTCCCCCACCCCAGTCCCATCCCCTCTGTCCTCTCCTTGAGATTGGTGTGTTTGCTTCCCATCCTTAGTTTTATATTTGCTATATCTCTAGGTTTCATGTAATTTTGAGTGTTTAATGTAACACTCCTTTCTTCATCATCAGAATTACAATTCTGAGATTTATCCATGCTCCTGAACGTGACTTCAGTTTGTTCATCGTAACCACTTTGCAATTTGTACAGTGGGAACGTGCCACAACTTCTTCGCCCATCTCTTGTGGACAGACACCTGGGTGTTTCCGACTTTCCCTTGTTCTAGCAGCACTGCTGGATTTCCTGGTGCACGTCTGGAAGCAGAACTGTTGGGGTGTTTTCAGACTAACCTTCTCCGGTCTTTCCACTGGCGTGAGTTTGGGGCGAGCTGTTGTTTTAGGAACTGAATTGTTATTGGCTGTTGCTGGCCAGGTGTTTGTAATGTCTACTTTTTTGATAATACAGTTCCCTGAGAAAAGGTTACCGTGCTTCTGGACTACTTGCTCGCAGTCAAGGGCATGTTTGGGTAACTGCAGCCAAAGCTGGGTCTGGAGATGGCCTTCATGTCCAACTCCTTCCACCCTGGCCTTGCACTCGCTTGCATGGCAAACGGCTTGAGCCCTCGGCGGGTGGTCACGCAGGCTGGGCAGCCTTACCTCCGTACCTGTCTGTCTGGGCAGCTCCCCTGTAGAAATGCTTGAGAAGAGCCTGCTCACAGGCCTGTCTCTTGCTCAGTGGCAGCTGCTTCACCCACTTTTACTGGCCTCAGCTGGAGGCGGTGACGAACTTTTTCAAACTGTCAGGGCTCCAAATTTGGGAGTGCTTTGCTGCATTAGCCACCCTGCTGTATGATTCTGAGCAGTTTTTCAGCTTGAATGCACAAATTTATGAACCTTTGTGCTGTCACTGGGCTTCATTCCCAAACCTGCCCTGCGACTCGGCCCCTTTGTCCTCCAAGTCTGTGGGTGGTTGACCCTCAGTTCCCATTTCTCCTAGAGCTGGCTCTCACAGTTGTGGTTCCTGGGACCCCTCTGGATCTGAGGCCTGTCTTGGGCTCGCTGTCACCCTCTGAGCGTTCGGCTCTGTGCAGGACTCTGCCTGTCACAGCCTCAGACCCCTGCCCAGCGTTCACCTCCCTGTGGGAGGTACGGGCTAGTAGCCTGTAGTGTCCTCACCCTTGACTGTCCCAGAGCTTCAGACTCTGAGCCCCTGATGGCTTTGCCCCATCACCCACCTGTACCTGCGTGTGCCCCAGTTCTCACCCGCCTGGGCTAACCTTGGGCATCTCCCCTGAGTCCCTCCTGGGCCAACCCTGGGCGTCTCCCCTGGGCCAAGATCACGTCCTGGAATTGCTAGCAGTTTCTTTTCCTTTATGAAATCATTGTTGGAGTCGGCCCCGTGGCTTAGCAGTTAAGTGCTGTGGGAGATCAAGATTTGGCCACCCTGAAATCTATCTCTTTACCTTGATTGTTTTCTCTGACGGACATTTGACCTCCCCCACTGACTGCCTAAAGAATTTGACATAGTAACTCCTTCCTGGAACAGATCTTCTATCTGATGGCTGTAATATAATGTAAAATAGATGTTACAATAGGAAAGGCACCAACAAGCCCATCTTATCAGAAGTTCTGTCTCTCTGGCCACATTCTCTGGATGGCCCTTTGAGGAGTTGCCAGACAAACATTTACATTTATAAGGGAAATCTCCATTTGTAAAGGTATCTCCCTCTCTGTTTTGGGAAGAGGGGGGATGGCCTCATTTCTAGAGACTTATCAGTGTAGAAGATGAGGCCTTAAATCTGCATAATAACCTTACTCTTGTTTACTGTGCTTTAGTGGTAATCTCCTGTAACTGACTCCCCCCACCCCCAACATCCTCCTTTGTCATTGGCTGAACATGGTATTTAAGACGAGAATTTCTGCTATTGTGTTGAGAAACGCAGTGTCCCTGGTTTCTCCCATGTATACGTGTTATTAAACTTGGTATTATTTTCTCCTGCTAACCTGTCTTGTTAATTATTTGGCCAGCCATAAAAACCTTAAGAAAAGGGGCAGAGGGGGATATTCTCCCTCTTCCCCCACAGTGCGCACACTCTGCTACTGGCGGCACGGGTTCAGATCCCAGGCGTGCACCAACACACTGCTTGTCCGGCCATGCTGAGGTGGCGTCCCACATACAGCAACTAGAAGGATGTGAAACTATGACATACAACTATCTACTGGGGCTTTGGGGAGAAAAAGGGAAAAAAAAGGAGGAGGATTGGCTATAGATGTTAGCTCAGGGCCGGTCTTCCTCAGCAAAAAGAGGAGGATTGACATGGATGTTAGTTCAGGGCTGATCTTCCTCATCAAAAAAAAATATATATATATTGTTAAGGGTTGTTAAGATCATGTATTTATTAAACCAATGCTAACTGCTTATGTTACCCTTTAGAAAACATTAAGAACTTATGTTTAAATGGAAATATAGATAATTTATAACCAGTTGGATTTCTCCTTAAGTATACATAATTATTTTAGAATTAAGAGAAAAGTTTGCTTTCTTGTAGACAGGAGTGAATTATTTTTGGCTATCTATAGTGATATTTTTTCATGAAATCTTCCTAAAGGAAGGACATGAAAACTTTTTTTCATTTTCAATTTTTTTAAAGGTAGAATGCTTAGTTGTAGTGGAAGGGAGACCGAAAGATTGATCATCTTTGTTTTTCTTCCAGGTATAAACAGAAGAGCAGGTGCAAACCCGTGTTCAGCCTCCGTATGACGGATGCGGTGGAGATGACCAGCTTATCGGCAGTAAACGACTTCTACTCCTGTATCCTTTCTTCTCCGTCCTCTCGTGTCTCCACATCCTGAGTGTCATCCTTCCAGCAAAGCATCTGTGAGTGTCTGAGTTCCAGGCACTGTGTTGGACAGTGGGCATTCAGAGAGCTCACCGTCTTCCAGAGTAATTAATTCTATGTGTAGTAAGTTCATCTCAATAGTGAAAACAGCCTCAAAGGAAAAGTAAAACCAGATGCAACAGAGCGTGTGGCATACAACAGGACACTCTAACCTGGTGTTTCTGGTCTGTCACTTGTTGAGCAGGCTGTTGTTACTTAGTACATTTTAAAATAAACCTCTGTGCTTTCGATAGGCACCCCAGCAGGTGTGGTCGAATATGGAATTCAGTCCCAAACTTTAATTTTTGAGTTTTTATGGCTAATATCATCCCTTTTGATTAAAAAGCATTGATTTTAATTTATTAGAAGCAAAGCTCTGATGCTCTGGAATTCATTTAATAAAATTTTAATTTATTCAAAGGTCTAAGTTGAATTTTTCTGAAGTTTTATAGTTGAAATTTCAGAAAGACTGATATAAGGTATTAGAGGTTCTAGTATATTTTAGTTAGAAATGTGATATTTTTATGCTAGAATCTCTTGCTAAAAAAACCCCAGAATGCCACCTAGCAGAAACATGTGGTTCTGATGATTCCAGCCTTGCATGATGGTCTCTCCTATGTCGGTGTTAGCACTGGGTTTATTGTTGACTCTAGTACTCTTTCTACTATGGATACTTTTTGTGACCATATTCTGGGCTAAACATTGAAGATGGGGTAGTTCTGGTGGTCACATGACCCCTAAGTTCCTGAATTGTCCCTCATACACCAAATTTATAAAGTTTATTACACTACATACTGTGCTACGTTGTGCGCCTTGTCCTCTCACTCATATGGCCTGTTCAGGGGACGCCGTCTACTTTATGGTTTTATTGTCTATTCTTTAGTTCAGATCTGTCTTCTGAGCCCAACACCTATATATTTGACTGCTGTTCCATCTCTTGATTTGGGTATTTTCTGGACGTCTCAAACCTCATTTACCTGTAAGTGGGACTCTTGCTCCCCCACCATGAAATCTGCACTGCCTGGGGTCTCCCTCCTCAAAATCTCACCTCTCAGGGTCTCCCCATCGTCCTCACCAGCCCCTCCACTGCCCACCGGCTCTTGCCAACTGCCTGGGACCAGACGGGGGAGCAGGGCTGTGATTAGGGCTTCTCCTGAGGGGCTTCAGAAAATTGTAACTAGTTATCTGTTTGTGCATCTTCTAGTGTTGCAAAACTTATTAATAGAATAAATAGGACCATTCACTCCCTGTGAGTGGATTGTTGAGAGGAGTTCCCTAACTAAAGCCCACAGACATTGTGCTGGCCGCCGGCCGAAACAGGACTTTGGAAGTTTTCGACCTCAACGTGGGCCGCAGTGCGGCCCTGATAGCAGGAGTCCATTCACGGCCTGTCCACCAAATTTGTCAAAATAAAGTGAGTTGTTTTTTTTTTTAATTGAGGTCATATTGGCTGATAACATTGTATAAAATTTCAGGTGTACATTTTTATATTTCAGATTCTGTATAGACTGCATCGTGCTCACCACTGAGTCTAGTTTTTATTCGTCACCATACATATGTGCCCATTTACCCCTTAGCCTTCCCCCCCCACCCCCTCCCCTCTGGTAACCACTAATCTGTTCTTCTTATCCATGTGTTTGTTTATCTTCCACATATGAGTGAAATCATATGGTGTTTGTCTTTCTCTGTCTGACTTCGCTTAACATCATACCCTCAAGGTCAATGTTGTTGCAAATGGCATGATTTTGTCTTTTTTTATGGCTGAGTAGTAATCCGTTATGTATATACACCACATCTTCTTTGTCCAGTCATCAGTCGATGGGCACTTGGGCTGCTTCTACGTCTTGGCTACAGTGAATAATGCTGCAATGACCATGGGGTGCATAAGTCTCTTTGAATTGTTGATTTCATGTTCTTTGGATAAATGCCTAGTAGTGGGATAGCTGGATTATATGGTATTTCTATTTATAATTTTTTGAGAAATCTCCATACTGTTTTCCATAGTGGCTGCACCAGGTTACATTCCTACCAGCCGTGTATGAGGGTTCCTTTTTCTCCACATCCTCTCCAACACTTGTTATTTCTTCTCTTGTTAATTATAGCCATTCTGACAGGTGTAAGGTGGTATCTCATTGTAGTTTTGATTTGCATTTCCCTAATAAGTAGTGATGTTGAACATCTTTTCATGTACCTGTTGGCCATCTGTATATCTTCTTTGGAAAAATGTCTTGTTTATATCCTCTGCCCATTTTTTGATCGAGTTGTTTGTTGTTTTGTTGTTGAGTTGTACGAGTTCTTTATATACTTTGGAAATTAACCCCTCGTTGGATATATGATTGTCAAATATTTTCTCCCAGTTGGTGGGTTGTCTTTTCATTTTGTTGATAATTTCCTTTGCCATACAGAAGCTTTTTAATCTGATGTAGTCCCATTTCTTTCTTTTTTCTTTTGTTTCCCTTGCCTGAGTAGACATGCTATTCAAAAAGATACTGCTAAGACCGATGTCAAAGAGTGTACTGCCCATATTTTCTTCTAAGAGTTTTATGGTTTCAGGTCTTACTTTCAAGTCTTTAATCCATTTTGAGTTAAGTTTTGTGTGTGGTGTAAGATAATGGTCTTCTTTCATTTTTTGCATGTGGCTATCCTGTTTTCCCAACGCCATTTATTGAAGAGATTTTCCTTTCTGCATTGTATGTTCTTGGCTCCTTTGTCAAAGATTAGCTGTCCATAGATTTGTGGTTTTATTTCTGCACTCTCAATTCTGTTCCATTTATCAGTGTGTTTGTTTTTCAGCCAGTACCATGCTGGTTTGATTACTATAGCTTTGTAGTATAATTTGAAGCCAGGGAGTGTAATACTTCCAACTTTGTTCTTTTTTCTCAGGATTGCTTTGGCGATTGGGGGTCTTTTGTTGTTCCATATAAATTTTAGGCTTCTTTGTTCTATTTCCTTGAAGAATGTCATTGGGATTTGGATTGGGATTGCATTGAATCTGTAGATTACTTTAGGTAATATGGACATTTTAACTATGTTTATTCTTCCAATCAATGAGCATGGAATATCTTTCCATTTCTTTATGTCTTTTTTGATTTCTTTCAATAATGTCTTATAGTTTTCAGTGTATACGTCTTTCACCTTCTTGATTAAATTTATTCCTAGGTATTTTATTCTTTTTGTTGTGATTGTAAATGGGATAGTGTATTCTTGACTTTGGTTTCTGCTAGTTCATTATTAGTGTATAGAAATGCAACTCATTTTTATATGTTGATTTTGTTTCCTGCAACTTTACTGTATTTGTTGGTTATTTCTAATAGTTTTCTGATGGACTCTTTAGGATTTTCTTATATGGAATCATGTCATCTGCAAATAGTGACAGTTTCACTTCTTCCTTTCCAATTTGGATCCATTTTATTTATTTTTCTTACCCAATTGCTCTGGCTAAAACGTCCAGCACTATCTTGAATAAAAGTGGCAAAAGTGGGCATCCTTGTCTTGTTCCTCTTCTCAGAGGAATGGCTTTCAGTTTTTCTCCATTGAGTATGATGTTGGCTGTGGGTTTGTTATAAATGGCCTTTATTACGTTGAGATACTTTCCTTCTATACCCATTTTTGAGAGGTTTTATCATAAATGGATGTTAGATATGGTAAAATGCTTTTTATGCATCTATTGAGATGATCATGTGATTTTTATTCTTCATTTTGTTAATGTGGTGTTTCACGTTGATTGATTTGCAGGTGTTGAGCCACCCCTGCAACCCTGGAATAAATCCTACTTGATCATGGTGTATGATCCTTTTAATGTATTGTTGTATTTTATTTGCTAGTACTTTCTTGAGGATTTTTTTGCATCTATGTTCATCAGCAATATTGACCTGTAATTTTCTTTTTTGTATTTTGCCCCTGTCTGGTTTTGTTATCAGGGTAATGTTGGCCTCTTGGAATGAGTTAGGAAGCTTCCCCTCCTCTTCCAATTTTTGGAAGAGTTTGAGAAGGATAGGTATTAAGTCTTCTTTGAATGTTTGGTAGAATTCACCAGGGAAACCATCTGGTACTGGACTTTGGTTTTTTGGGAAGTTTTTGATTTCTGTTTCAATCTCTTTGCTTGTGACTGGTTTATTCAGATTTTCTATTTCTTCTTGGTTCAGTTTTGGAAGGTTGTATGATTCTAAGAATTTATCCACTTCTTCTAGCTTATTAAGTTTGTTGGCATATAGCTTTTTATAGTATTGTCTTATAATCCTTTGTATTTCTGTGGTGTCTGTTGTAATTTCTCCTCTTTCATTTCTGATTTTATTTATTTGAGTCTTCCCTCTTCTTTTCTTAGTGAGTCTGGCTAAAGGTTTGTCAATTTTGTTTATCTTCTCAAAGAACCAACTCTTAGTTTCATTAATCCTTTCTATCTTGTTTTTTTTTTTTAGTTTCTATTTCCTTTATTTTTGCTCTGATTTTTATTATTTCCTTCCTTCTATTGACTTTGGACTTTTTTCTTCTTTTTCTAGTTCTAACTATAGGGTAAGCTTGTTTATTTGAGATTCTTATTGTTTATTGAGTTAGGCCTGTATTGCTATAAATTTCCCTCTTAGTATCACTTTTGCTGCATTCATTAAGAGTTGGTATGTTGTGTTTTCATTTTCATCTGTCTCCAGGTATTTTGTAATTTCTCCTTTGGTTTCTTCATTGGTCCAATAGTTGTTCAGTAGCATATTGTTTAGTTTCTACATATTTGTGGCTTTCCCAGATTTTTTCTTGTGGTTGATTTCTAGTTTCATAGCATTGTGGTCAGAAAAGATGCTTGATATGATTTCAGTTTTCTTAAATTTATTGAAGCTTGCCTTGTTTCCCAACGTATGGTCTATCTTTGAGAATGTTCCATGTGCACTTGAGAAGAGTGTGTATTCTGCTGTTTTTGGATAGAATGTTCAATTTATATCTATTAAGTCCATCTAGTCTAGTGTTTCATTTGAGGCCACTGTTTCCTTGTTGACTTTCTATCTGGGTGATCTATCCATTGATGTAAGTGGGGTGTTAAGGTCCCCTGATATTATGATGTTGCTGTCAGTTTCTCTCTTTAGATCTGTTAATAATTGCTTTATATACTTTGGTGCTCCTGTGTTAGGTACATATATATTAATACGTGTTATGTCTTCTTAGTGGAATGTCCCTTTTATCATTATACAATGCTTATTTTTGTCTCTTGTTATCTTTTTTATCTTGAAGTCTGCCCTGTCTGATATAAGTATGGCTACACCAGCTTTCTTTTGCTTGCCATTCACTTGGAGTATCCTCTTCCATCCCTTCACTCTGAGCCTATGGTTTTGTCTATAGTTTGTCTTTAGAGCTTAGATGTGTTTCCTGGAGGCAGCATATTGTTGAGTCTTATTTTTTAATCCATTCAGCCAAAAATGAGTGGGTTTTTTGACAGTACACATCATTTGTAAAACTTTATGTTTACAGTGTTTACATGCAAGTGTTAGATACAAATACATGATCAATTTTATAACAGTTTGCTAATGAATTCAATGTTAATTTTTATTGTTCATTAAATTATTCCAAGCTTTGATGTTTGACCTTAGAAAATATTTTAATATCATGTTGAATGTTAATTTTTGTACTTTGGTCTTGGGTTATTTTATGGGCCTACTTTTTGACTTTGCTAGTAATACATTCTCACTTAAAACTTGATGGAGGGTTTGGGTGTTTTAAGCACTAACTAGATTGAATGACAATCATGTAGATCCTGCAGGAATGTGAAGCAGCCTTCATAAATCGATAGCTTCTCTTTTCTGCTAGTCCATTTAGACAGAGAAATAGTTTAAAAATACCCACAGCTGAGGGTTAAAGATTTGGGATTAGAGGAAGTGGCCATTTTGATGAATTCATTGTCTCATGGTTTAGTTCAAAAGACATTTTGTTACCCAGAAGAGCATCTAAAAGACTTGTGAACAAAACTTTTGTTTTCAGGACTACAGCTCCAATTTTTATTTTTGATATATTTGGAATGGCTTTCCAAAATTAGGGTTTAATTTATAATGCCTTCTGCATTATGCATTATGATCCAGGGATATGAGTTTTTTTTGTGTGTGTGTGAAGAAGATTAGCTAACATCTGTTGCCAATCCTCCTCTTTTTGTTGAGGAGGATTGGCCCCCAGCTAACATCTGTGCCCATCTTCCTCTACTTTATATGTGAGACTCCTGCCACAGCACGGCTTGATAAGCAGTGTGTAGGTCCACACCCAGGATCTGAAACTGTGAACCCCGGCCCACCCAAGTGAAGTGTGTGAACTTAACTACTATGCCACCGACTGGCCCCAACAGGGGTAGCATTTTTTAAAAGTGAAGTCTTACTATATTGGTTAAAAAGACTGTTATCCACAGTTTTGATACCTTATTCCAGGCTCACTTTAAATTTCTGT